TTGTTAAAAAAGTTTAAATTATCCAACAAATTTCATTCCACTTCACGGTTGTGTCCCACTTGTTATTGATTCATGACAAAAAATTAAAATGTTATATCTTTATGTTTGAAGCCTGAAATGTGGCGAAATGTTGAAAGGTTCAAGGGGGCCGAATATTTTCGCAAGGCACTGTATGTGGAAATGTGTTTATGAACAACAAAGGAAGTCAAATTCTACTTTTTTACTACTATTTAACATCTACTAAAACGCTACAATACTCATACTTTATCACTTTAACACATTTTAACAGTTGCTCAGTCTCCCAGACTAAAAAGTCAAAGTTTTTGTCTGTCAAATGTCTGAATACTTTACATGTATATTGCATTTGGTCACAGGTTCTGGTTGTAGCAATAGCATCGGCAATAGACGTTTTCATTGGCTGGTTCTTGTTCTGCAAATGTCTGTGTCCAATAGATCATCAGATGTCCAGAAGCTAGGGACAAACAAAAACAAAAGAAAGAATCATGAGTATCTCTCTCATTTAGCACTCATCAATGTATGATTTTAAAAATATAAACATCACTCCCCAGTTTTTTCTCTCAGGTCCTCAGGTCCTCAGGGTCCTCTGAGGGTGAGTCTCAGTCGTCATCAGGTCAGGTCATATTTCGAGAGATGTCATCCTGGACATCAGTAGGGCCCAAGCCATGGTTTTGGTCTCTCCAGATGCACATCAGGATCTCCAGATACAGTCTTTTCACTTGAAGCACATCAGGTCATTTGCGATGCACTTCTGGTCAATGGTGCAGTGTCTCAGTTCCTGTACACAGCTTGTTATGCAATAGTTACTCTCTATGGTTAAGTCATTTTGATTCTACTTTAAAGACAATTTCTATTCATGCTGTTGCTAATGTCCCTCAGACAAAAGCAAGCGCAATGATTCAGTTTACTTCTCTAATTTGTGTTTTTATCAGATCTTATCCTCATCAATGTAATTACTTCACACAGTACAAAATCAACAAATCAAAAGTGTCAGGACAGAGGTCAATTAAGTCCATGACAATATAGAATTCAAATGAACATTTCTGGTCTCAAAAAATACTGATTCAAGTAAAGATTCAAGTGATAGACAATTAAAAATGTGTTTACATTGGAGTAAACTTTTAAAATGCTTTTTTCTCATGTTCTGCTTTTTCATGTATCTATATGTAAATGTGAATGTGTGAGTGTGTAGATGTATGTATGATGTGTGTGTGTGTGTGTGTGTAGGGTGTGAATTTTGGGGTTGTGTCTCCAGACTCCTCGAACCACCTGTAGGTCTCAAAGGTCACACTGTGGTGATGTAACCCAACTGGACACACTCTCAACTCTCATTCAGGTCTCTCCCTGACGCTCCACCCATCACGTCTCCAGATACCTCTCTTTCATGGCCCCGGTCTCTCTCACACCCACTCAGCTCTGGAGTGACGTGGGGAGGGGCAAGGAGGTGGCATTTTCCTTTGCTCTTTGATCTGTGACCTGTGCCTGGGTGGGCTTTGCTGTCCAGTGTCCAGCAGTCCAGTGACCCTGTACAGTGTGTGCCCTTGGTCCTGGAACACAACCTTATAGTCAAATTAAAAACAACAGATATGTGAATGAGATTGTTTTTCTCTCTGAAGTCAAAACAATTTTGGAGCGCTCTGGGTTTTTCAACATGCGCTATGTAAATAAAGATTACTTATTATCTTACTAATGTGAATGTGACATTTTTAAAACCAGAAACTCTTAATATAAAAAACAAGACTCAAATCTCAAAAATCTTCAAACTTTAAAATATGTATTATGTACTTTTGTACTGTGTGTTTAATTATCTTGAACATCCTTGGGTTTCACTTTATGGACTTTCCCTTTTAGACTTATTTATCTCAGCATCTATTCTACTAATTTAAAATAATTGCAGCATTTTTCAAATTAAGTCAATATGAATTGGAGCACATTTTAGAGCCAGTCTCCTCTGCTGTGGCATCAGCAGGAGCAACAAGGTCAGGCGTGTAGTCAAAACAAAAACAAAAGTCACCACTTGAATGTGAATTGGGTAGTTTAACTTAATAATATAATTCCCTCTTTCTTTTTTAGACAAAGTCTATAATCAATAATCACTTTTAACTCAGATTCTAATTTAAATATTTGAAAAACGGCTTTTGTAACTAAAATAAAAAATACATGAAAAAATTCTCACTAACAGCTATGAAATATCAGATACAATAATGGACTCAAAAAATAAGCAGCAGATTTAAAAAGAATGGAATCTAGAAATATGTTAGGTCTAAAAAGAATTGCACAGCTTTAGCACTAATATTTGGGTTTCAAAAAAAAAACATATAATATTCAAAACTTATTCACTAATGGTGTTTAAAAACGTTTAACTGTGTCATAACACAATGTTCAATGGCAAATTTCGCAAATTTAACGGAATAACAACTATGAAAAGCCAAAATCCTAAAAGCAGTAGCTCTGATTCAGAGCCAGAGCAGCGAAGGAGGGGGCCGTTTCCCCTGACAACGGCAGCAAGATAGAGATGTGCACACACACAGGCAGAAAGCAGTGTTTTAGCAAAAATGCAAAAACAGAAAGAAGAATAACTTTCAAGATTACTTTGTTAAGCGAATATAACTTGTAGTTTATACTTTTGTCATCCAAGTCTAGAAGTGATCACTTTCCACACTTGTAACAAAAGGCACTCTTTACTCTTTAATTTCCCTTACGCTTCTATTTTATCGAGGTAGCAAACTAGTTTAAACTCAAAATCTCTTTCTAAAAAAAAAAACAACTGTTGGATACAACCCTCTCATAGCTTAACTGTAGATATAACTCGGCAAAAAATGTAAATAACTCACGAAAGCTCTCATAGCTCAACTTTAGATAAAACTCTGCATTCTCTAGTGAACTCTGTTCACGCCAAAAAACAAAAACTCCCTTTTTCTGTATGTAATTTAAACCGTGATCACTGAAATATTGTTGCTTCTTTACTTTTGTCATTTATCAAGCTTGGAATTGGTTAATTACAAAACTTTTTGTGACGAAAGGCCTCCTTAACACGTTTCCCTTTTTAAAAATTGCTTTTAATTTTACACCATGGTTTCACTAAGGATCCTTCTCTATCTTTTCTCAAAGGGACTCTAACCCCGAAAACGTTTTCTCAAAGGGACTCTAACCCTGAAGCTTCTTCTCAAAGGGACTCTAACCCCGAGACTTCTTCTCAAAGGGACTCTAACCCCGAGACTTCTTCTCAAAGGGACTCTAACCCCGAGACTTCTTCTCAAAGGGACTCTAACCCCGTCAGGTAGCGAACCTGTTTTTAATCTAATCTGATCTATAGATACATGACATTTGGCAGACCTCAAAACAGACCATAATTTAGTTCACTCAATTAGCAGACTTTGAATAAACAGGTGTCCGCTCTTACCTTTTGTTGAACAGGGCGCCAGGCACCGTCAGAAGTCCACCAAATATCAGCTTTTCCACGTCCAACCAGGTCTCCAGATCATGAACCAGCGCTCACTAGTACCGGGAACTAGTTTCCATCGGCAGAGACCAATCGCACGTCAAAAATCCCCGGAATGTGGACATGGGAAAACAATTTTAAACGCTCAGTCCAAAAAACAGGACACAAAAAAAATATAGTGAGACAGCGAAAAAGAGTCCCGGAGCCGGTCGCCTCTCCAGCCTGCTGGACCGCTCCCAGGCCCCAGATACTCTCAGCTCTCCCACGCAGAGAAAAAGAAACAAAGAAAACTCCCTCAAAACAATCCAGAGAATGGCACACACTGAGCCGCGCATTCTCCACCAAATCTGTCAGGATTTAGCAGACAGAGACGGATCGTGGTGTGCCAAACTCTGGAAGTTTATTTAAGTTTCTCTCAAGTTCCACTGGTTTACTTTGTTTCTTTCTCCCAGACAGAATAAAGGCAGTACACAGTTTATATAGTCATTGTCACGTCACACATCGAAAGACGTACGTGTCACAAAGCGACAGTCACATCATAGTCATAACACGGAGTCCTTGTAGAGTCCTTGTACAGTCCTGCACGTAGGCCATATTGCTATCTAATACTAACACATGCCTAACCTAAGCTATCAGGCCGAACAAGGATATCAGTGATAAAGGATGCCGACAATATGCCGCAATAAAGTAGCAAGAAGGAAAACTGGGGATCACAGATGGCTCAAAAATACCACTGCTCATTATCCTCAGTGCACTATCCCCAGAGACAAATATGGGGGTGGTAGCATCATGTTATGGGCCTGCTTTTCTTCAGCAGGGACAGGGAAGAGTGTCAGAGTTGATGGAGCCAAATATAGGACAATTGTGGAGGGAAATCTGTTTGAGTCTGCAATAGACTGGGGTGGGGTGGATGTTTATCTACCCTCTGGTCAATTTCCTTAAATATTAAAACGTTTCATTCAATGTAACGGTTTAAAACTAAAATATTCATGTGTTAAAATGGCCCAGTCAAAGTCCAGACCTAAATCCCAGTGAGTTATTTTGTAAGACACATGGGCAAAAATTTCAATCTCTAGTACAAAGTATTAACTCTTCACATTTGGCTGTAACTTGGTTGTTTGTGCCACTGTATTTGTCCATAATTTTTAACCCTAACTTTATGATTGGGCTCATTTAGCGTTCTTCTTTCACTAATGTATTCATATATATATACACGGTTCACATGTTAAGAAGATTTACAGTTCATAAATTAAATGTATGGTCTGAAAGGTTTTGTCTGTGTGGGGAGTTCAATTATTAATGGAGGTATTACATCAGGGTAATAAATAATAGAATTTCATTTTAATTCAAACCTTCTCTAGGCCAGGTGTTACCTTTGCCTTTTAGGTCAGTTTTTAGTATAAAATGTTGTCTGCAGTTGGGTTGAACACTTTCTCAGGAACACTTTCTCATGAACAATATAAGATTACAGCTGCGTCCAGTTTAGGCTTTGTGTAAACCAAGAGACCGTGTTCTTGAACTTGTTATGTTTTTTTGACAGCACTACTTCCTGATTATCTTCGGTCATGATGGACAGAAGCCTTTGGAGCTTCGTTCTGAGGAGGAATCTGACTCTAATGAGTGGGTGGATTGTATTCAGCAGGCGAGGTCGGTAAAACTGCCCCAGCCATTGTATAAAGTTATAATTGGATGTTTCTTTTTTGAAATAATGAAAGCGTCACTACTTGTAGTAATTCAAACATCATACCCCTCTGTGCATATTTATGCTTGGAGCATTTCATATTTAGGTCACAGGGCTGCTGTATGGGTAGGTTACATCAGACTTGTTGTTTGTGCACTCAACCTCTCTTTTCACCTCTACTTCTGCTACTATCTGGCAAAAACAAGATATTTAGCTCCTTGTTAAATATTATTACAATCGGAAAAAATATTGATTCATACTACATAATGTGTAAAGAGTTGATTTTCTTTAGTTTATCACACTGTGCTCCTGGCTTAGTTACTCGGACATCATCATTGAGCGTGAGATCCTGATGCAGAAGTACATCCACCTGGTGCAGATCATGGAGACTGAGAAAATTGCAGCCAATCAGCTGCGCACTCAGCTGGAGGATCAGGACACCGAGATAGAGAGACTCAAAGTCGAGGTACTACACTTGCACCACAACAGCACCACAACAGCCCCACAACAGCACCACAACAGCACCACAACAGCACCACTACAGCCTGTACTCATCCCACCGTGCTGAGAGATGATTATCACTGAAAAAAACCGATATGAAGTTGTTACAGAGGCCAAAAGCAAACAGAACATCCCCTGAAACAAGATTCATCAACTTCACAGAGAAAGTGCACAAGAGCAAAGAATACAGTTATTACAGTTTTTACAGTACAACAACCCTTTTTTTATAATACCTCCTCAAAGTCAAAGAATAAAATGAAATAGAATGACCCAGGTACATTTTCAGCAAATGCCATCTTTGGTTAAACAAGTCTGGTTTCAGTTGTAAGGATGCAGTCATTTTCTCCACAATAAACACTCGTTTGACCCTTTTCTTCCATTCAGCCACTGATGGTGAGCTCACGTTCTTCCAATAGACATCATTTGTATTGTGTTGTTGAAAAGCTCACTATATGACTCCATAAAATAAACAGCTCCACCAGACCATCTGTTTTGAAGCTCATCAATATTGTACTCTTTATTTGAATAAATATTGTTGTTTCAAGATTGTTATGCTGAACAAAACCAAGGAAAGAATGTCGCCTTACCAAAGTAGTCAAGAAGACGAAGACCCAGATATTAAAAAGATCAAAAAGGTAAGCGAGTTCATTCAGTCACTTTCAACTATCAAACAAAAGTTATTGTTATTAATGGTATTATTTTATACAGGTCCAAAGTTTTCTTCGTGGCTGGCTTTGCAGAAGAAAGTGGAAGATCATTGTCCAGGATTATATCTGCTCCCCACACGCAGAAAGCATGAGGAAGAGGAACCAAATAGTTTTCAACATGGTGGAGGCAGAGACGGAGTATGTCCACCAGCTGTCCATCCTGGTCAACTGTTTCCTACGGCCCCTGAGGATGGCCGCCAGCTCCAAGAAGCCTCCGATCAGTCACGACGACGTCAGCACCGTTTTTCTCAACAGGTCTATTCACAGGATGTCCCACTACCACAAAATACTAAAATACTGTCTCTTAAATATTACTAACTTTCTCCTTTTCTTAGTGAGACCATTATGTTCCTGCACGAAATCTTTCACCAAGGTTTAAAGGCCCGGATCGCCAACTGGCCAACTCTTGTTTTGGGTGAGCTCTGTGTCCATGTATTGTTTGTCATTCTTGCATATCTTGTGAAAGTGAATTAATACAACTAGTTTTTCGTTGTCTTTTTGCAACCAAATTAATGTAAAAGTAAGGTCAAAGGCTTAGAAAAAAAGGATATATTAAGGATAGGATATATTTCAATTCAATTACATTTATTTTTGTATAGTCCTAATTCACAACATCGGTTGTCTCGGATTTGCCAACAATAGATCAAAAAATGTTAACACATGTAATGCAATAATAACAAAAAAAAGGAGCTACTAGTCCATAGGGGGCATCATGACTAATGTTCATAAATGTCCTTAAATGTCCTGAATCATCACTGTCCTTAGACCCTCCTGCATCTGGAAGAAACAACACACACAAAAACAGTTGGGAAAAATGTGAGAAATCTTGAGGAGGCACAGGGACAGAGGGATCCATTCCCATGTAGGGCAAGCTATAGATCCATGACTGAGGCTGTAGGTTCAGGAATCAGGCTGTAGATCCAGGACTGAGGCTGTAGATCCAGGACTCGGACTGCAGATCCTGGACTGAGGCTATAGATCCAGGACTCGGGCTGTAGTTCCAGGACTGAGGCTGTAGATCCAGGACTCAGGCTGTAGATTCAGGACTGAGGCTGTAGATCCAGGACTGAGGCTGCAGATCCAGGACTGAGGCTGTAGATCCAGGACTCGGACTGCAGATCCTGGACTGAGGCTAGAGATCCAGGACTCGGGCTGTAGTTCCAGGACTGAGGCTGTAGATCCAGGACTCAGGCTGTAGATTCAGGACTGAGGCTGTAGATCCCGGACTGAAGAGCCTCCCAGGTGGCGAGGAGGATGCAGGCTTACATTTGAGCTGGGTTGACTAGTTTAAATTGCAAAGTTCTGTGGAAATAAGTTATGTCAGTTTTAGTAAGTTGTTCGTAACTTGTCTTGATTCTTTTCATCTTCTACCTTCTGTTTTCAGCTGACCTGTTTGATATCCTGCTCCCTATGCTGAACATCTACCAGGAGTTTGTGCGCAACCACCAATTCAGCCTTCAAGTTCTGGCAAATTGTAAACAGAACCGGGATTTTGACAAACTTCTCAAACAGTACGAGTCCAATGCCGCCTGCGAGGGCCGTATGCTGGAGACCTTTCTTACATATCCAATGTTTCAAGTAGGGCCCTCATATTCTGTCAATCCCACCAAGCCACAACAATCAATATCTAACCATTTATATCATAAATGTTGCAGATTCCTCGATACATCATCACTCTACATGAGCTGCTTGCACACACGCCGCACGAACATGTGGAACGCAAGAGTCTGGAGTTTGCCAAATCTAAACTGGAGGAACTGTCAAAGTGCGTACCTTTTAGAGCTTTAATAATAATTTTCTGGATGCTTAAAGACGCATCAAGGTACAGAGCAAAACAAAGTGTTGTGTTTTTAGAATGATGCATGATGAAGTCAGCGACACAGAAAACATCCGGAAGAACCTGGCCATCGAGCGAATGATCGTAGAGGGCTGCGATATTCTTTTAGACACAAGTCAGACTTTTGTACGACAAGGTTGGGCCAAAAATATTCATTGGTTTATTCCAAATTTTAAAAATGTTTGAACAACAACTTTGAAACCCAATTTTTTTTCAGGCTCTTTAATCCAGTTGCCATCCAGTAGTGAACGGGGAATGCTCAGTAAAGTCCGCCTGGGTTCCCTGTCACTTCGCAAAGAAGGAGAAAGACAGTGTTTTTTGTTTACCAAGCATTTGCTCATCTGCACGCGCACGTCAGGAGGAAAACTGCACCTGCTTAAGGTTATCCTCACATACAGTATCCTGCCTTTTGCTCTAGTCAATGATAATAACATTCTAATGCATGTTTTATGCAACAGCAAGGGGGCACGTTGTCTCTGATTGAGTGTACTCTCATTGAAGAACTCGATGTCAGTGACGAGGACTGTAAGTATTGAGCACATCCTCACGTTTCGACACTTACTTAGAATTTAACTTTCCTGTTTATAACGTTTGAAGACAATGCAGCAGGCCAGGGGTTCAACCATTTGCAGTTTAAGATTGTGGTGGAACCTCCTGATGGACAACCTTTCTCTGTGGTCCTACTATCTCCGTCTCGCCAGGAAAAGGCTGCCTGGACCAGTGACATCAGCCAGGTTGTTTCATTAATTAAATTCTGCTTATTTCTATTAAATTAAACACAACGGTGTGCTTAAGGAGTATGTGAAACTTACTGGCTTATATAACTGTCTTTTAGTGCATTGATAATATTCGATGCAATGGTTTGATGACGAGTGTGTTTGAGGACAACTCTATAGTTTCTGTGCCACACATGATCAAGTACGTTTCCCTTCAGAAGTTACAATGGACATGGATTACAACATTCTGCTTCTTGTAATAACTCAGTCATATTTGTCCAGATCTGATGCTCGGCTGCATAAAGACGATGTGGACATATGCTTCAGTAAGACGCTCAACTCCTGCAAGGTCCCTCAGATCCGTTATGCCAGTGTGGAGCGACTGCTGGAGCGACTCACTGATCTTCGCTTCTTATCCATCGACTTTCTTAACACATTCCTGCACACGTACAGAATATTTACCACTGCAGCCGTGGTCATTGACAAACTAGCTGATATCTACAAGAAGCCCTTCACTTCAATACCAGTGAGGTATGAAACTAAAGCGTTGCTTGTTTTCACAACTTCATCATTCATCACATTTCATGTCCCCTCATTGTCTTTGTTCCATCTCCTCTGCCTTCCCCTGCGTTTGCATGGCCCCAGGATTGAGCAACATTCCTGTGATCGTCTTTCCATTATGTCACTTTGTCCTGACTACAGTCTGAAGATCACTCAGCTTGCTCTGGATCAGACTAAGTACATACTCTCACTAGGTCCTGTCATTGTGAACAGCACATTTATTTATGTATTCTTTTGTTGATGTTTGTTAAAGCATGACAAGGCAAGTGTTGTCTGTTACAGGTCATTGGAGCTGTTCTTTGCCACCAACCAGGGAGCCTGGGGAACTGACTCCCTGAATAATAAATCTCCAAGACTGTGTCGCAAATTCTCCTCTCCTCCTCCTTTGTCCATCCCCTCCCGGACTTCTTCTCCTGTGCACAGCAGAAAGCTCTCTCTCAGCTCCCCAATCGGTCCCAAGGTAGCAGCCCTGGATCTGACCATCACTCCCACATCATCAGCAGCAAACTCGCCCACATCCAGTTACTGTCCAGGCATCTCCTCTCCCCCTCCCATGACCAGAGCCCCCTCTGGCTTCTGTTCTCCTCCACCCACTGCCAAGCGCTCTCCCAGCCTTCCTCAAGCCTCAGGGATGTCCTCTCCACCGCCCTTCTGCACAAAGGCTCCCCTAGACCTCTCCCGTGGTCCCAGCTCCCCAGAGTTGAGCCCATCCGCAGCGGACGATGTCAGCGGGGAGCTGCCTCGCCTTGACGCCTTCTGTGGGAAGTTAAGACGCAGCATCCGCAGAGGTATGAGCCCAGACCATAATCACACTGACGTCCAATGATCACACCACATGTGCTGGCATACAGCCAACAGATTTACATCTCAGGAGGCTATTCAAGTTCGGTGAATATATGCAAATCCATTTTGGTATGATTTATTAATGAAATGTGAATCGATATTGGCACATTGGACGAACAGGTCAAATCTAGTTGAAAATGTCTTACAATCTGGACAGTCAGTATCTGGTTAAAATGGCTCCTTACAGGAACTATAATGTTTAAAAATAGACAATATACAATTACACCTAAAGCAGTGTCACCTGCAGACACGTGTGCTGTAGATTCTGCTGCTCTGATTTATGATCTGTACAGCATTTCACTAAACTGGTAAACCCAGATGTGAGGCTCATTCTGCGTTCTTGAACCAATGCCCAAATGTATAATAAACATTCTGACCTTTATATCAATTGTTTGAGTAATTAATGATATTATAGTTTACATTATATTTGGGGACACAAGTTTTTGGATTCTCAATTGTTGTATGTGTCCTTTATTAAAAGAGTTAGTATGCAGGGTTTAAATACGGCCTCCATTGTGATTTCAACTGTGGATTGTTACAATTGTTTTATTAAGTTAATTTTAAATTCTTTCACTCCACATAATTTCCTGTACAGTTATAACTCATGATTATAAACATAACTATATTATTGCTGTTAACAGCTGTACTGGAGTCAGTATCACTGGACAAGTTCCTTCCGGAGACTTCCGCGAGCAGTGAGGGTGACGTTTCGCCGTGTCGCTCCCCTTCTACGCCCCGACACCTGCGCTTCAGACCTCAGGGAGGAGGTACGTCCCTTTATAATAAACACAAGAATAAAAATATGAATAACTTCATAAAGCTTTACGTTGTTGTTGTAGTGACATCAGGAGACAATTCTCGTTGCACAATGTCACCAGCTTCAGCGTTTGCCATCGCCACCGCAGCTGCCAGTCACAGCTCCCAGGGTAAACAGCATTTCACTGTTATTGGCTTAATTCTACTGCACACCTCACTGTTCATTTATTAAAAACTGCCTTTTCTAGGTTTTAACAGCCCAGAAAGAAACTGTGATAAAGAGTTCATTATTCGCAGAGCTGCCACCAACAGAGTCTTAAATGTTTTGCGGCATTGGGTGTCAAAGCACTCTCAGGTAAGTTTACTGTCTATGATATTTTATAGTTCTAGTTTAACATATGTGTAGGTCACTCCTGCCTCCACAGTCTATCACTATATTTTACTTGATGCTTTTACCAATGGACCACCCAGATTTAATATATGCTCTATTTATTGACAAAGGTGATGAATGTGTTTGGTTATGGATACTGAATATTATACCCTGTTTTCTGCATCATATTGTCATGGTTTAACAGTTCACATATGTATGTTTCCTAACACTTAACCATGACACCTTACATGCCTGTGGTGATCGGAGCACTCGCGGCAGTGACTGGGCGGCTGGAGGAGTGGCTCTCCTGGTTATATGTGATCATTTCCTTAATTTTCACAGGATTTTGAAATGAACTGTGAACTGAAGTTGGGGGTCATTTGTCTCCTGGAAGAAGTGCTTAAAGATCCAGACCTTTTGCCTCAGGAGCGAAAAGCCACAACAAATATACTGAGGTATTAGAAAAGAACAAAAAAGCAGGTGAATGTTGTTATAAATGAATACTTTGACTTGTGTTTTGTTACAGTGCTCTTTCCCAAGAAGATCAAGATGATGGTCAGCTTAGGATTGAAGACATTTTGCAATTGGTGAGTAGGCTACAGCAGCTTCTTAAAACTGTAAATGTTTAGTACATCAGTGCTGAACTGAGCAGTTGACAATATTCTTGTTTTTTATACAGAAAAGCTGCCCTTTACTTCACTTCATTGCGGTAAGAAAGTGACTTATTTTAGTGACAGCACCACATTACATGCTCTGTACATATATTCACATTTATTTCATCCACATGTTTTATTTGAAGAAAATCTGTTTATGTGTTTTTCCCTGATTTTAGGCAGAAAGTCCGAGGACTGAATGTTTCGAGTCGCTGTCTGCCATGGAGCTGGCTGAACAAATCACGCTGCTGGACCACATCGTGTTCAGAAGTATTCCTTATGAGTGAGTACAGACTCAGCTGCTGTTACACACAAACCCGAAACAAGTGTAGACAAAGAACACGAATCATTCACACAATAGTTGATCTCATTCAATATTTTAAGGGAGTTCTTGGGCCAAGGGTGGATGAAGGCAGACAAGACGGAGCGCACCCCCTACATCATGAAGACAAGTCAGCACTTCAATGAGGTAAACACACGTATGAGAGAAGAATGTGAATATCCATATCCAATATTCATTCTATATTAAAGTATTCTGCTAAATAAAGCTTTGATTTGAGCTTTTAGACATACATTTCAACTTCAGCAATAATCATTTCTACCATGTTTTTCACAATTCCTAATCTAATTAAAACTTTCCAAGCTTGGGCAGATGGATCAATGTTATTAGGATAATTTAAATGTAAATATAATGTTGTTATATGTTATATTATATTTTGAAAAGTTGTGATTTATTTAATCTTTTACTCATTCCTTCCCATAATCAGAGAGTTGGTAGTTAATATCTGGTGGCAATGCCTTTAAACATCACATCTGTTATGAAAATTTTGAAAACTTATTCCACGATAGACACGATTGTCATAGTTACAAACTTAGAGGAAACCAAATTAAATATCTACCTAAATTTAGAACTACTCTAAAGTCAATGTGTATCTCAGTGCGGGGAGTGAAACTTTGGAATAACTTGCCGAATGAATTAAAAAACTGCTCAAGCATAATTCATTTCAAACAGTTGTTTAAAAAAAATGTTTTAAAAAAATATAAAGAGGAAGGAGAGTGATGCCCTCAACATGAAGTAAAGGGGTGAGGGTGTAGGGTCAGAGAGTGTTTGGGCCTGTGTCTGTGAGGTGTTGTGTGTATCTGTGGTGTGTTGTGTGTGTGTGTGTGTTGTCTTGTTTTGTCCTGTCTCTGTAGTCATGTCATGTATTAGTTCATTCTATGTACGGTATAAGTTTCCAGCTGTTTACGAATGATCCTGTATGTATAAGGTTCTTGTACTGTACTTTGTGTTGAATGTGTGAGGGGGTTGGAATTCAATAAGCAATTGCTTCATCCACCTCCTTTTCAAACCATGCACCTGTATATTTGTCTGTTATGTTGATTTTTGAGATGATGATGTTTGTGCAGGTTTTGAAATAAATAATATCTATCTATCTATCTATAAGACCAAACATGTACATATTACACCAAAACAAAAAGCCGTCAAATTGACTGCTCTGGAAGTTCTAGTGTTAAATGTACACAATTATACCTTTTTTTTTTATATATATAAAAAATCATTATGGAGGTTTCTACAACATGAAAAAGTAACCCTGCTCCCCCTCCTGCAGATGAGTAACCTGGTGGCCTCGCAGATCATGGCCAACGCAGACGTGGGCTCCAGAGCCAGCTCCATAGAGAAGTGGCTGGCGGTGGCGGACATCTGCCGCTGCCTCAACAACTACAACGGAGTACTCGAAATCACATCTGCACTGAACCGCAGCGCCATCTACAGGCTGAAGAAGACATGGGCCAAAGTCTGCAAGCAGGTCACTTTTCTTTTTATTATTTATGTATTTATTCAAATACGATATAAACGAAACAGGTGACTTAAAAATGCAAATCAAGTTAAATAAATACATAAATATAATAAATAAATATACATATATTAGGACAAACTAAAAATTGAAATGAAACCAGGGTATAACTCTTATAGCTCCAGAGTTTTATTTTATTATCTTATTATTTTGTGAGCTATTGTCTTGAATAATAGATCCTGTTTGTGCATTACCTGAGTGCTCTTATTTCTTTTACTCTGCTGTAATGTGCACAACGATAACCTTGAAATCTCCCCAATGAAGGGCAAATAAAGGTTTATCTGTAGATGTAAAGGGCATGTATCAATAAATGATGAAGTTTAATCGCGTTCTTAGAATTCATGAGATTAAATAAAGTATGAAGTAGTTTGAACCATGGATGTATTTTACAATCGAGTTTGAACGCATTCCTCCAATGATTGTAGTTAGGGATGGCTTTTAAAAATGACATTTGTGTATGTTGTAGTGTTGTAAGCTAACTCTATAAGATTGTTAACACCAAAGTCAGCTCAAAGCAAACAGGTAGCTTACGTTCTTCCAAAGAGACAGAACACTTTGCATTTGTTTGTATATGTTGCATTTGAATTTATTTTGTTTATTCTTAGACAAAGGCTCTCATGGATCGGCTGCAAAAGACAGTATCGACGGAAGGACGGTTCAAAAACCTTAGAGAAACCCTTAAAAAGTAAATATTCAAATTATAATTATTACTGTACGAATACTATGAACAATAATGTGTGTGATTCAGTAACATCTGAATCTGTTTGCAGCTGTAACCCCCCATGTGTCCCATATTTGGGCATGTACCTCACAGACCTGGCGTTTATAGAGGAAGGAACTCCTAATTTTACTGAGGAAGGTTTGGTGAACTTTTCCAAAATGAGAATGGTAAGAGAATCTAACCATGTTGACTTGCTGGGCGTCTCAAAAACATACTTCATTTGTTCTTTGCTCTTTGTGATAGATATCTCATATTATTCGAGAGATTCGTCAGTTTCAGCAGGCCCCCTACAGGATCGAGCATCAAACAAAGGTATATTAAACTTATGGTGCCGAGTAGAGTTGCAGCTAGTCATTATTTATCAGTAATCGAGTAATCTATTCATATGAACTAATAGTAGCTTGGGAAGTTCCATCAGTTCCATTCATGTTTTTTATTCTTGTTATAATTAATCATTTATTTGCTTTTTACTTTCTGTACAACATACTAGAAACTTAAAACAAATGTTCTGTGTTTAGATTTTCTGTGTGAAATACTGAGTCCATCATTGCAAATACAAACGTTCATTATGATCGTCTCATTGTGACGACTCCAGAAGCTTGTGGATCTAAATATAACAGATCCAGTGAAACAAAGCAGTTCTATGTGGTTTTAGTTGGTTATTAAGATGAAAAAAATCATTTATGTAATGAAATTTAACTCACTACTGTGGTGCAGCAAGAAAGTCCTTTCTGTGTGGAGTTTTGCATGTTCTCCTGGTGCCTGTTCTCTGATTTGTCTATCACTAAAAACATGTGCAATAGTTATGAATGTAGTGTGTGAATAAATGATAACGCACTTTGTGACTTTGATAAACAAGACTTAGGACTTGTGACTTACTTCCTTGTTGAGTGATTTTGGTCGACACAGACAATAAGTGGTTTCCTTTCTCTTTTTTTAGGTTACACAATTCCTTTTGGATAAATCACTAATCATGGATGAAGACACACTCTATGAGCTTTCACTGAACATTGAACCTCGAGTTCCTCCGAGCTGAAAACCATCAGAACAAACAGCAAAATGATGTCATCTCAACAGAAGTGACGCTGGCTCAATCTCAGGTCACACAGTGCCTTATGGATGATTCTAACATCTGTTATGACTTCATTATCTTAACATTGTGTTGTAGTTACGTTTCTGCAACTCTAAATATCAGAGAAAAAACAGCATTATTTTGTACAATACATAAAAATGTGGTCTATAATGTTATAATTCCTAATCATTTGTGTTTTTACTATCCTTGTAAAGATTATTTATTTTTACTGTATTATTTTAATAAGGTTCATAACTGAGACCAAGATCCATGTTTCATGTTAGTTTTGATGTTTAGAATAATATTCTTTTTCATTGGACTCTAGTCCATGTTTACAGCCGTTTCTCTTATTACTGTAGTAGCCAGACTTCCATTGTATTTGTTATGTATGTAACTCTTAACTATATTTATATTTCAAGATTATGGTTTCTTACTGTGAAAATTGTATTTACGAGTATCAAATATTTTCCTTGTACAGTTGATAATAAAACCTGTATTTTAAGAAAAGATGTTATCTAGAATTAATGAATCAAATGGAACATTCTGAGGCACAATACTGACAAAAGGTCAAGGTTGTAGAGGACATCTGTGTTCAGACTACGGTTCAGACCGAGGTCCAGACCACAGACCTTTAATGGGTCCAGACTTTCCTTTAGTTATCAGCCATTGGCTTCAAGTCCCTAATCCTCTGTGAGGGGTGGAGCTTTGTGGGAGGCAGCTGAAAAGCTCTTTAACTGGAGACCTCCTGCCACAGGCCGAGCAGCACTCTACAGGTACTGTACCTCATTTTGTTCATTATCAATTATTCTTCTTACAAATGCACACAATCCATTCCAGTAGTGAATTGTTTGTAAAATAAGATGTTCTATGTCCTTGAGCTGTTGGAAGGTGAAAGATCACGGTCCGGACTTTCGTCCTCATCTTCTAGTTTAATCACCAGGATCCTAGACTTCATCCACATCTTTAGCGCTGGCACAGATTAGTTTGTTTATTCTAAAATATGGAGAAATGAAGAGGGACACCAAACCCTTGCTTCTCTGAACCTCCCCTTTCTGACACAAGCCTCTGGTCCTGCATCAGGTCCAGAATGTCACTGAGCCGTGAGCCAGAGCTGCCTTGGCAGTACAACGTAGAAACACGTAGCCCCACAGAGCTCTATAAATATAACTTGTGAGCAGGAAACTAAAGGTCTTTTGATGCATATTAAGTCAACCACTGAGAAAAGATTTACACAGGTTCCTTGAGGGGGGCACCTGTGGGCTCAGCTCGCACCTGTTCAAACCGGGATTAAGAGAGCAATGTTCATATAATAAGAAAACTTCAAGTTAACAGGTAATACTGAAAAGATCAACCAACGATTTGTTCACTTTAAAATCAAAATATCATTTATACCATTTATTACATTGAGTTTAAACTATTTTCTCAAAAACATCATGGAATTCATTTAAATTGTCTCTTCCTAGTGACATTTCTGCTGTATTATGTCTTATTCAAGAGCTGTGTCTGTCATTCTGTGTGCTGGTGGTAATGAGGCTAAAGAGGATCTGCCCCACTCTCGTCCTCTTAAGCTTGTTACTGTTCTGCAGGAGACCAGTACAAATCTTCCCATTAGACTGGTTCTATGTGTTACATCAATGTCATTAACTCTTCATGTTCTTCAGCTCTTCGACTAAAAGACAAAAAGGATGGCGAGCTCTTTCACACGCCTGATTTCAGGCCGTAACAAGGCCGTCCTGTTGGCTGGCCTGGGTGCTGGAACCATGGCCACTGGCTTCCTGCTAAATGAAGGTGGTTCTTTGTCAGCTGAGGCGAAGAAGATGCTGTATCCTCCAAGGTACGACACACTTTATAATTAAAAATTACCTTATCTGAAATGTCTCATATCTAATGCTGCAGAAAGTCAAGTTGTCATCTATTACACTTTCAAGTTGTCATAATCACACTTTCAAGGGGAAATCATAAACAAAAATCTCAAAGCAGTAGTGAGCCTGCAAGATCACTGACATTCTCATGTTTCATCTGTGTCCTTCGACTCAATGTCACAGATTTCCACAGGCCTTCCTCCTCTGAAAGTTGGTTAGGCCTACCTAATACAACAAATACCATTGGTATCAAATGTCAAAGCTGATCCAGGAAAATGATATATCGGTTTAGGCGTAATTGATTGGTTCAATAGATGTATTAACTACCAGCTTACATTAGGCCAGAATGTAATAGGGTATAACTTTACTCATACAAAGTTGTTCTGTAGTTACTTTCAGAATAAATAACAATTTGGCCGGTTTTCTTACTTCTCAGTTTTTTGGGTTTTGGCACATATTTGAAAGCAAAAGTACTGGGATTGGTGTTGGACATGAAAAGGTTAGATCTGTACAGTTAGCTAGGGAATTGTTTCACAAACGACACGGCAGAAGTATAGTTCTTTAGTTTATTTTGAATTCATTTTGCAGTAGTTCCTGACCTGGACAACCCTCCGGAGTTCGCAAAGGGTCACGCCAACATTAAACATAATTTCTGCAACTTACCATTAATAAAAGTATTGGTACTGAACAGATAGCCCTCAGATAAATATGTATTTGCCTGAAATACTTATTAATCCTAAAAAGTCCATAAATATTAGTTTTTAATGTGTACATGTTTGAGAAAGGGGCAGGCAACATAAGATTTTCTTCTTTCTGCTCCTGTTGATTTGTGTGACAGGGCTACTAGTATTTGAATTGTAGAATGTGTATCGTCAAATCCACAAGTGAAGTAAATAAATCCTGAATAGTATTATGTAATGACACATGATGGTTGCAGCGCCGACTACCCAGACCTGAGGAAGCACAACAACTGCATGGCTGCTGCCCTGACTCCAGCCATTTATGCCAAACTGAGAGATAAGGTCACCCCAAACAACTGGACCCTGGACCAGTCCATTCAGACCGGCGTGGACAACCCAGGCCATCCATTTATTAAGACCGTAGGCTGTGTGGCTGGTGATGAGGAGAGCTACGAGGTACGATAAAGTCCTACTAGGTTTTCTGTGGTGCAAGCTACCACCTTCTCCATATTGTCTGAATATTTTCTCCAGGTGTTTTCTGACCTCTTCACTCCAGTCATCATCGACAGACACAACGGCTACGATCCACGAACCATGACACACCCGACTGACCTGGATTCATCGAAGGTACCCTTTCTTCACTATTGAATCACTTTTTTCAGATTTTACACTAATCTGTCAAATGTTTCTTCCTCTCTGCAGATAACCAATGGCATGTTTGATGAGAACTACGTGCTGTCCTCTCGAGTGCGTACGGGGCGTAGTATCCGTGGTCTCAGCCTGCCGCCTGCTTGCTCCAGGGCTGAGCGCCGTGAGGTGGAGCGTGTGGTTGTGACAGCTTTAGCAGGTTTGAAAGGAGACCTCGCAGGACGATACTACGGCCTGGGCGACATGACAGAGAAGGAGCAGCAGCAACTGATAGATGCAAGTTCTAACTACTCGTCCTATATTCTCCTCGTTCAGACAAATAGATATAAAGAAAATTCTTAATTGCCACGTCACAACTGTTATCAATGTTTTGGAAACCCCTGTGTGAAAATTCCCAAAACTTTTTTTTTCTACATTTAAGCATCATACTTTTCTCTCCAATACATTCATGCTGCCAGGATCATTTCCTTTTTGACAAACCTGTATCTCCATTGCTTACCTCGGCCTTCATGGCTCGAGACTGGCCTGATGCCAGGGGGATCTGGTAAGGCCAAACTAGGGATGCACTGGTATTGATTATTGATGCCAATCTATGAAACTTGTTTGGATTCTATGACATGGGTTAAGCCGATGTCCTGATTAGACCTTGCGTTTACTTGCGGGATAAATTGCAATTAAAACACAATTAGATTAATTTTGTCATATGTTAGTTGTGATTTGAGTGAAAACCTGGAGTCACTTCATATTTGCCAGATATGGAAATCAAAGGTATTGAGAGGGGGGGGGGGGGCTGCACCCAGTACACAGAGCACCAGCCCCTCACTGATCCTCCTGCAGGTGGTGTCCACAGGAGCCTTGATTATTCAGTAGGGGCTTTAGGTATTGAGATTGGCATCGGAAATGAAAACGCTTAATCAGTGCATCCCTAAAACATGTCAACTCTACTTCCCCTGGAGTATATAATAACAGTAAAATAGTTTTAGTTACTAACAATAATTTTAGTTAATCCCAGGTAATGTCCTATTTCATCCTGTTTCTACCTTCTCCCTGATCCCAGGACCACTTCCTGTTTGACAAGCCCGTGTCTCCATTATTGACATGTGCCTTTATGGCGAGAGACTGGCCTGACGGCAGGGGCATCTGGTAGGGTGGGCATGGTCTGCTGCATGTAGTGTCACATTCCTTAAACCTTGTTTTGGCTAACTTTGACTGATTAGGAGTAGGTCAGTTGACGGCAGTGGTTTACCTTAAGAGATAACATAGTTGGATGCTAACTAATGGTTCTCCTAAGGCACAACAACGAGAAGACCTTTCTAATCTGGATCAACGAGGAGGACCACACCAGAGTCATCTCCATGGAGAAGGGTGGCAACATGAAGAGGGTGTTTGAGAGGTTCTGCAACGGACTCAAGCAGGTAGAGGATGGAAATATTAACGATTAATGCAGCACCCAAATAAAACAATACTTCTGTCTATCTGGATGGTTAACCACTAATAGACTGATCAGGATATGGTGTGAACTACCCAAACCATCATTAATCAGAATGTTTATTCCTGAAGGTGGAGCATCTGATCCAGGAGAGGGGCTGGGAATTCATGTGGAACGAGAATCTCGGATACATCCTGACATGTCCCTCCAACTTGGGCACTGGCCTTCGAGCAGGAGTTCATGTCCGACTGCCAAAACTAAGCCAGGTGAACATGCATGGGAATGGCTTTTCTACTTTAAAAAGGATCATATCATTTATTTCTAAGCAACCAACAAATGTTTCCATCTGAAAATCCAATGCAGGACGCTCGATTCTCTAAAATACTCAACAATCTGAGGCTGCAGAAGAGAGGCACTGGAGGTGTAGACACAGCTGCCACAGGAGATACCTTTGACATTTCCAACAACGATCGCCTGGGAAAATCTGAGGTAAACTAGTGTTAGATTTTCAACCTATCATTGACGTTTAAATTAACTATATGTATAACTTGTGTGTATTTTTAGGTGGAGTTGGTCCAGTTGTTGATTGATGGCGTCAACTACTTGATCGACTGTGAAAAGAAGTTAGAGAAAGGACAGGACATAAAAGTCCCTTCTCCGGTTGCACAGTTTAAAAAGTAAACTTTCTATCCCCATTTTGGGCCCTACGGGTGTTCTTCAAAGTGTGCCCGTCTTTTGCTATGGAGACAATATACCTTTCCATCCATGATAAAGATTTAGCACTTTTGAGAGGAAAATGCTACCTCGCATCACGGTCTTTACTGTAACCCTAATTTAATTAAACATGATAAATCATTTGTGTGTGGTGCTTTTTCTTGGTAATATTTGATGCATGTTATTTAAAGATAGTTTGTTAAGAATAATATACAATACACACTGCTTAAATCAGAATATGTGAAAATGAAACATCGCAGATACTAGGTTTGTAGTATATTTATAAATGTATCTTTTCTTTACAATAAAACTTGTATAGGCAAAACTATATTGCAGTACATCGCATTAAAGCTGAATAGAAAAGGAAGGTGTCGTGTGTTTTGGGTAATAGATGCATGAAGACAGACACACCATGAAATTCTAGATATTGACCCAACATCCTATCTGTTTTGAATTTAGGGCAAAAATCATTTTTCAAGAAAACATATTTTTAATGCAACTTTTTACTAAAAAGAATAATTTGTAAAGTTTAAGAACAACCAACACTTGGCAGCAATAACTTGCCTTTACTGTACAGTCAGTGTGGCATTTGCCAAGTAGTAGAAAGGATCTGCATTAGGAGTCTAATGGCACTGACGCCGCTCAGTCCACTGGTCGCTTTTCACCGTATTTTTTCGTAGATTCTTCTGCATTCTTCATAAACTTTGCCCGATCTCTGGTGTATTCTTCTGCTAGATCGGCCCTCAGTGGGTGCTCAGGCTCTGGGGAGTTCACCAGAGCAACCAGAGAGTGAATCACTAAACAAAAAAGACAAATTTAAATGATTACCATCAATTTAAACAAAAACTATTGAAGGTCGATGGAGTCTGGCATCTACAAAGTAAAGTAAATTAGAATATGTATTCATTGATTTATGGTCAAATACTACGTGAAAGTAGGCGAATAATCGCACAATGGACCTGGACTATGTTAAACAACCAGATCACAATGTGTAAAGCGCTTTGGGCATACATGGTTGGTGAAAAAAATAAAAGACAACTTATTACTTACTTACTTACTTACTTACAATTCATACATGTAATAACAATATGAAGAGATCTGGTATATACACTATTAATACAATTGTGTTAGAAATCAGTCATACCTTGATATCAAGTGTTAAGCCCCATTTCCACCATCCATATTTGGCCCTGCTCTACTCTGCTCCGCACAGCTCTACCTGGTTGTGTTTCCATTATACTTTAGCAGCTAGTACCATATACTACTACCTCACTATAACAAACCAGTATCCGGGAAAGTTGCTTGGTAACCATGGCTTCCAGCGGCACTCTCAGAACGGCACTCTTAGAACACTTCAGTGCCAGCTTGCCCTAGATAAAACCAGGGCCACACAGGTACTAAAGGCACCTGGAAACGCTCCCAATCGGGGTAGAGTAGTCTTGTGGAAATGGGGCTTTGGATAACTCTTTGGATAATTGCTGTGTTTACATTCAGTTGCTGCTGCAGTGCTGAAGATGGCTTGCAGTTACAACCAAAAACATATCACTGTAAATCTCACTATAAACTTATAAATAAATGTTTATCAATGAGCAACCCTACTATAATAAATCAGGCACAGGAATGGTAGCAGTTGTGAAATTGGACCAACTGCTTTCATACCTTGGGACGTTCTAGTGGCTGGCTTCCAGTTTTCAGGACTTATGATGGGTAGGCAGACCTGGCCCTTGTCATCAATGTTTGGATGGTAAATTTTTGTCTTGAAAGTGATTTTTGGTGGTTTGAAAGGATACTCTGCAGGAAAAATAATCTCAATTCGAAAAGCGCCTTTGTCATATGGTGGACAATCCTGACATGAGAGAAAATGAGTCAGTATAGCAAGCACGCATTTCAGAAGGGCAAATTACAGTCAGTCTCTTACGGAAACAATGAGGCCTTGCCAGTTCAAAATATTTGTTTCATCGACTATTAAGCTACGGAAATGTTGGATTCCTGAGTTGCGAATATCTTCAAGTTCCTAAAGAAAACAAAATCAGATTCGTCAGGGTAACACAAGTAAACCAATAAACAAACTTACTGACGATGAAATTACAAGGCTAAAAAATATAATAAAAATGTACGACCCATTACAACAGTCACTTTACCCAGCTTATAATATACCGATGCACTGTTGAATAGCTATTGTGTGTATTTATATATAATAATTTTATCAAGATTTAGATTACTTTTTTATCACTTGATTGCACCATTAACTCAAGCGAATTCCTTCTTTGTGACTTCCTGTTACCAACAATGGCAATAAAAGAAATTTGATACATAAGCTTCATGTGTGAAACTAGTATCCTGACTCACGGCTCTTGCTGCTTGTATACAGTATCTATGGCAGTATTTCATAAACTGATCCAATGATTTATGAATCCTGGACTCACGTGACACAAGCAAGTTAGGGTGATACAGATTTGCATGCAAGTGGTTGGAGTTTTTGGGAGAGATTGTTTCACTGATGAACAAGGATTTTGTTAAATTTACGTGGTTTATGATCGGTATATCTTAGGCTATTGAGTGTTTCATTTTCCGGATTCTACAATAACATAAATTACAGTGCTGCTGGTACAAGATCTGACGTACATCCAACCCCATTCGGCTCCATGTTTGGCTGCTGCAATGACAGTGCGCGAAACGGATGTGTTTACAATGAACTGAAACTACTTTATATGTTAACATCAATCTGGATATGTTGTTTTAGTGGTGGATTGAGTGCTTGACTCTTTTTGTAAATATGCAGGTTGATATTTCAGGCATCATGGTTTTGGTTTCGAGTAGTTTGACGTCAACCAATGGAGTAATGTTACTTCAGACTTACGATGGTAATCATAATTTACAGAATGACAGAATGGGCTGGATGCGTGTGAATGACTGCTTACCTTCTTAAGTCGCCTGGTAGTGGCCATTATAGAGACGAGTTTTTGCTTTCTTCTGTCAGTTTCTTGCTCGTTTCTTCCTGTTCCTTCTTCTACCGAGTATAATCTCGCTCGTGCTCTACAGACAGTTGACAAAACGTGTTTCTGCACACATTAGCGCCATCTGCTGCCGAAAAGTATGAACAACGCGAGAGAAAAGTGCAAAGTCATTTCAATAGATCCATGGGTCCAATTGTCCCTGCTTGTTCTTATGGTGTAAATACTACTGATGGAGAGTTTGAAACCGCAAACAACATTTTTTAACCACCTGCCTCGATTTAAAACATTTTTTGATATTCTAATAACAATAGAAATAGCACCACCTGCTGGCTGTTTGGCAGAAGTGGCGTTACCATTGCGCATGACTTCACTGTTCAAAATGGCCGTCTGAGTTGAGCCTTGCCCAAATTAAACTAATCTAGGAGTAATAACTTTGCTTTAAACGTTTTAAGAAATGATGACACTACGTTTATTATTTTAAAATCCATCGCTAACGCACAGAAGCACCTTATACGCTGGCGGTATGATTAATGGAGTTCTGGTAAGACTTTCGGAAATTATACAATATTTTTTGCTAGCAACACTAGCTTTAGCGGCTAACTAACACTAACACTAGCTAGCTCGTCTGTAAACCAACAAGTCAACGTTACAACTGAAAAATTAACAATGACAATTCATGTTTTTATCTAACACTAACTGCAGCTATGCTATTTTAAAGAATATGTTAAATATGTGTATTTTGTTCCATAGCAAGTCGAGTTTATCTTTCGAGTTTCGATTATGTCCAATATTAAGCCTGCTCATCGTAAATACGTCTTTGTTCGCAGCCTTTGGCATTCAGTCGAACTTGCTAATTTCGTTAAGGGAGTTGTCAATAGTTGTTAGAAATAATTTGGCCAAACGTGGACCATATTGATCAAGTTACTTATGTGTTGTAAACTAAATGATACACCCTCATTTATACATCAAACTGATTTGTTTTACTGATTTATTAGATTGTCAGAGATTCAGATTCATTTATTCGCCATTTGCAGTAACACTACATTGGAATACATTAGTAAAAGTTCCCAGTGTGCACAGGACAAGTACAGACATAAAACAACATTAAAAGACAAAAATAAAACACATTTTAAAAACAGTAAACAAATGTCACTGTGAAGTTGACCAACTAAAACAGATCTGTACAAGTGCAAAAACATTAAAGTGCTCTATTCAAACTGCTAACAGCTCATGGAAAAAAACTATTAGCATAACGAGATGTCCTGCATCTCAGAGAACAATATCTTCTGCCAGAGGGAAGAAGCTGGAACAAGGCTTTTCCTGGGTGGCCAGAAGAGTCATTGATAATTCTCAGGGCACTGTCAAAAAGTCTGGATTGATAAAGAGCCTCCAGGACAGGAAGTTCACAGCCTACAGTCCTTTTAGCAGAGCGGAGCACCTTGTTTAAAGCTCTCTTTTCTTTATCTGTGATGTTACCGAACCACACAGACACAGAACCAACAAGTAAACTCTCAATGGTGCAGCGATAAAAGTTCAGCAGAATCTTAGAGTTAGTGGTAAATTCTCTAAGTTTCCGCAGGAAGTAGAGACGCTGGCGAGCTTTCTTTACGACCCGGTCAGTGTTTTTAACCCATTTCAGGTCATTAGACAGAGTTAGACCCAGAAACTTACACTCCTCTACAATCTGCACTTGGGAGTTATCGATTGCGACAGGCAAATGAGAACTATTGCGGCTAAAATCAAAGACCAGTTCACATGTTTTGGATGCGTTCAGCTGGAGGTTGTTAGCCTTACTCCACTGAACCACGTTTTGGATCTCGGCTCTATAAGACGATTCATCGTTATTGCTGATGAGACCGATGATGGTGGTGTCATCAGCATATTTAAGGATCAGGTTAGAGTCTGAGGAAGACACACAATCATGAGTGTACAGTGTAAAAAGTAAAGGACTCAAAATACATCCCTGAGGAGATCCAGTGCTCACAGAAACGGCATCTGAAAAACAGTCATTGATTTTCACTCTCTGAGATCTGTTAAAAAGCTGTAGATCCATTTACACATGGCAACACTTAAGCCGAGAGACATGAGTTTTTCGATCAGTATACCTGGGACAAGACAATTAAAAGCAGAGCTATAATCAATGAACAGCATTCTTGCAACAGATTTCCTATTGTCCAAGTGACTGTAGACAGAGTTCAGAGCAAAGGAGATGGCATCCTCCACACTCCTGTTCTGTCTGTAAGCAAACTGGAGCGGGTCAACACTCACAGGGATCTGGCTCTTAATGAAGTCCAACACAAGCCGCTCAAAAGTCTTCATTAGGACAGAAGTGAGGGCCACAGGACGATAGTCATTAAGGCATGTCACAGGAGTTTTCTTAGGAACTGGGATAATGGTCGACTCTTTGAAGCAGTTCGGCACAGTACAGTTCCTTAGCGACAGGTTAAAAATGTCTGTTAAAACAGGGTTTTAACAGACAGGGTTTTAACATTGTGTTTCTATTTCTGTGTTTGCTGTTTCACAGTTTGAACAGTGCTCGTTTTGTTTTTGTTTTAGGAGTCCTGTTGAAGGTCTCAGGTGTTTAAGCTCGGCATGGACAGCTTTTTTAAGGCTGCTGTTTGTGATCTGGACAAACTCCTTGATGACTTTGAACTAACTTCTGGTAAGATCCTAACATTGTGATATGTTTCTTTTAAAAAGTAAAAAAAAAAGTAAAAATGAAACACAAAAGTAATGTTATTTCCTCTGTTTGTTTCTTAAGAAGAACTTGAAGGCAATCCAGTGTTCTTGAAGCCTACAGTTTACAGTCCCTTTTCTACTGGAACGTCCTCATGTTCTTCGTCAGAAACATCTGCTGGTTCTACAAACCTCCCTGACCTCAACTCACTACATTATGGTCCACCCTTCCCAGACCACTGTATTACCCATAGCCACAGGACAGAAGACGGCGAGAGCAATGTTCAACCACTTACATGTGTGGACCTTCTCTCCTCTGTCAACAGTAGGCAAACCAAAAGCTCTGCTCCTCTTTGTCCAGATCGTGCTCTGAAGCCAGTCTGTGACCTTGTAAATGATACCAGCTCTGCTATACTATTGAACAGCAATGATGCTTTCAGTGAGTTGGACATGGTTGAGAGACAGTTGGAGCAGGACGATGCATTGCTTGTACACTTTGACCAACCCCTTGTGTCTGGAAATCATAATGGAGGAAATGGGGAAGCTCCAGGGTCTGTGTGCAGTGACATTGATGTCCAACATTCTGATGAGAAGGATTTGGTTTTGTCCTCGTTGGACGTCATTCTTCCATTGGTTACAGACAAGCCTAGTGAGTCTGTTTTGGACTCACTTAATGAACAAAAATATCAATCAGTTGAAAGTGAAGACTCTGTATCTGTCTGTCAAGCAGAAGAAAGTTCTTTGATCACATATGAAGATGCAAATATACCATTTGGAGAGGCCCTGACTTCAGCTGAACCAAGATCTGACAAGAAAGTGGAAACCAAAGAATATTCACAATTAGAGCCTGAGGTAGAAGATCAAATGGAGTCCTGTCACGAGTCCGCAGACTGCCAGCCTAGTTTGTCTTGTTTGCCTTTAGCAGTCTCTATGTGCGGGGCTCTAGTAAAAAACGAAACCATAGACCATGATTGTGAGCCGTCTGTGGAACCTTGTGATGGATGTGTATCTGAGAGCAAAAAAGATTGTTTGCCCACGGCGGATCAGTTTAAACAAAGTACCTGCTTGAAAGAACCATTTGAGCCCCCAATAAAACAGCATTCAGAAGACGACATACTGATTGCAGCTGGTGTTTTGTCAAAAGTTGTCCCATCCGTCCCATCTGAACCCAGTCCAGTGAACAAGCATGAGTTTGGATTTGAGTATTTACCAGAGAGTGATCAGCCTGAGATGCTGGTTACTGATGAGGAGTTGGATGCATTTCTTCAGGCTCACAGCAAAGAAGTTGTCAATAGTGTTTCATGTTTCAGGTCTGAGAATTTCTCTGTACCTGAATCTTCTCCTTCTGAAGAGAGTAGGGCTATGTGCGAGGAGGCTGTGATTTGTAGTGAGATAAACAGTGATACTATTGAAGGCCTTGCATCTCCAGAAAGTGACCGGTCAGTGGTGTCTGCAGAGGGAATTATAATAGATGGTACTCTTTCGGATGAATCGTCTAGTCCTCCTGGGGTGAGCAGTCCATCACCAAGCACTACATTCCAGTCCCAGCAAAACGGTAGTACAATGCATGGAGGTGCTCGGCCTAAAATACTGTCCCACCCGACCTCTAGATCACCACCAGCAGAAGAAGAACAATATCACAATTTCACCGGTCACACATCACAGCCAGTGGAAGGTGAAATAAAATCCACTCCATCCAGTTCAAATGAAGAGACAGACTTCAGTGAGTATAGCTATGTTCCCAGCCCTCAGGACCATGATGGTTACTGTCCTGGATATGATGAGTTGTCGGAGCCTCCACCTTATCCTGGAGAGGCCACCACTGCCACCGTGGAATGTGACGATTGGAAAAAGGACGATGACGCAGAGCTTGGGAATGAACAGCCAGCATGGATGCCCGACGCAGAAGCTCCAAACTGTATAAACTGTGCTCAGAAGTTTACGTTCACAAGAAGAAGGCATCACTGTCGAGCATGTGGAAAGGTAATCATTTCTTATTTGTGTCTTTACAGTTATCATTTCAATTAAATAAATGTGCTAGCTTTCTTAAAATAGAGTTGGAAATAAAATTAAATAAAATGTATATTAAATAAAATAAAGACATGATCTTGGTGAAAACAAGATTTATCTGTGAAACAATTTTATTGCTGATTATGCCTTTCCTAATCCTTTGGAATGAATTGGGACCAGTAGGGCTGGGCGATATGGCAAAAAAAAAAATCTCCGATTTTTTCACACCAAATCCGATTTTCGATTTTAAATCGATTTATTTTTTTCTATTTAAAAACAAACTACAACTGACAAAGAAATAGATTTTCCTTTATGCAGTTTAATCTAAATCCCCATGGAGCATAAGTGTAACAGGAATTAAGCCTTAAAACATGCTTGTAAACGAGATGGCTCTGCCATTGTAAACAGTGAAAATGTAGCTTAACAGTTTTATAATAACTTCACTTACAATGACACTATGCACCTTCAAAATAACTTAAATATCACACAAACAAGGCCCATCGCAAATATATCAATCCTATTAAACACATGCATTATTTACATGAAATATCACATTTTTAAAACTGATTACTCAAAGTAGAAATGTTGTAACAGACAGTCTTTTCCAAAAGCCTCCTCGGGTTTTCATGCTTGTTCTTTCAACTGTGCCTGAGTAACTGTGCTGTAGTACAACGCTCGGTCCAGCTGGTGGCGCTAATACTAACTTCAGTGTGACTCCCGCATTGTGCGAGCTTCCTGTTTACATTCTGATGCTGTAGCTAACAGCTACTGTAGCAGCTACTGTAGCTAACAGCTACTGTAGCAGCTACTGTAGCTAACAGCTACTGTAGCAGCTACTGTAGCTAACAGCTACTGTAGCTAACAGCTACTGTAGCAGCTACTGTAGCTAACAGCTACTGTAGCAGCTACTGTAGCTAACAGCTACTGTAGCTAACAGCTACTGTAGCAGCTACTGTAGCTAACAGCTACTGTAGCTAGCAGACAGCGGGGAACACGTTGTTTGTATCAGAGCAATGAGAACAATGTGTGAGACGTGTCTTTCCCCAAAGTGCAGCGGCTCAGTGGGACACAAGTGTGTGCGCGCCACGGACACGGGAGTGCGCTTTGGAATAACGAGCGTGAGAGAGCGTGAAAGATGTGGCGTACGAACATGGCGTACGAACATGGCGTACGAACATAGCGACCGGGGCTTGCGTGCGTGTGTGTGTGTGTGTGTGTTTTGGCGATTAAATAAAGTCTGATTCTTGAATGTTTGAAGTGTTATTGCAACAGCACCAACTGTGAGAGCGAGCATCAGGCCAGAGGGAGACTGTTAGCATTAGGTTAGCTTCAAAATGACTGCTCAACACCATAGACCCGCGGTTAGCGCGGCGCTGTAGTTCTGCGCTGGAGAAAATAAAAATCGAATTTTTAAAAAAAGAAATCGCCCTAAACGTAAAACTCGAATTAATGATTAAAATCGATTAATCGCCCAGCCCTAGGGACCAGTTTTATATTCAAAACCTAAAAAACTTGATCTATTAATGCGTATGTAGAAATGGGACAAGGGAGTAAATTTAGATTATGAATTGAATTCAACATTGTTTTGTAAATTGTAATCACAGTTTGATTATAAGATGTTATATCAGTGGTTCTAAAGTACCAGCTAATACGAGTTGGGCATGATAAATGGGACCGGGGCATAATTACACCAAATAAATTTATAGATCCAAATTATGAAGTGGACTATACCAGGGGGACAGAAATCTGGAATAGAGTTAGTTTACATTCTCCATATTACGGTGCTGTAAACCATGCTCTAAACCAAATGGAGTTTACAATTGAGTTGAACAAATTAGAATTAAATTAGATTGCTATTTGCTGCTTAAAGTGCACCAAATACATCAAAAAGACAATTAAGTAAGTAATCTTTATTTATATACCGCCTTTTCACTGCAGATCAGAGTCTCAAAGCGGTTTACAATTGTTATTTTTGGGCAGGGGCCAGTACAGGAGGCATGCCAGTCCTATTGTACATAGGACTGGCATGTGGTAGGGGAAACCGGAGCACCCAGAGGAAACCTACGCAGACACGGGGAGAACATGCAAACTCCACTCAGAAAGGCCCTGGTCCAACCGGGATTCGAACCCAGGACCTTCTTGCTGAGAGGCGAGAGTGCTATCCACTCAGCCACCGTGCCACCCACTGAATTGTGCTCCCTGTGGGACAAATAAAGGATCTCTTAATCTTATATATATTTTAAAGTACGCAACAAAAGTGTTTGACTAAGATCACATGGTAAAGAACATCAAGTACTAAGAGCAATCCCTAAAGTGCACTGTTCAATGTGATGGTTGTTTATTTTTAGCTATTAGGACAGGATGCATTTTTTATTACATTTAGTACAATAATTATTAAAAATCTGCGTGAAGTGTAAGTGACCGTTTACATTTGTGTGTCAGTTCAACAATAATATAGATTATAATAGTGTAAAATGTGGTTGGGGAATCGCCTCTGTTGGAGCTGGAAAGCCAAATTTAGAAAATCCTCAGAGCAGATTAACCCCTTGGCAACAAGAAAGTACTGAGGCTTTGAGTTAGCAATTCTTTTAAACTTTTCGTTATTCATTTGGTTACTATATATAGTGCAAAACACATGAATGTGTCTCATTAATAAATTAGATCAAATAAAAACCTTGGGCAATTCATTGGCGCAGTGGTCCTCACAGTGCTTATACAATTGTAATCATTGCATTTCAGTGATTATTTAATATGACTTACATTTTGCCTCAATAGGATCACCCAGGGTTTGCAAATAGTCAGGAAATCCAATTTGGCACAAAACAGTGAAATTAGGTCAAATAGCATTCTAGGGATCTCCGAGTGAAAAGTTTGAGAACCCCTACATTGGCAAAAAATGTAGGTGATATTAAGTAGTAAACGTATCACTTTCATTTTTCATGGTCCTTTTTGAGTTGGTCTTGCATCTCCACAAATCTGACACTGAACGTGTTAATCCTTTAGTTGTGTTGCTCAGTTTAGCATTGCTTAGATTAGGGCTGCACAATATATATAAAAAAAATCTTTACTGTGATATTGGTGCGCGCGATATTGCAATAAAAAAAAGATGCATATTTTTTTTGATTATTATTATTTTCCTTTATTAAAGACAACACAGACACATCAACATTCAACAAGAACAACAAACAAACGAGTATTTAGTATATGCATTTGAAGGTCATTAATTTCATTAATATGTGCTTATTTTTTGTTGTCTCTTGCGTATCAATCCAGATTGCAATTTTAGGTGACAGACAAAAATATTGCAATGATATTGTTATTGCAATACTAAACACTCCTATCGAAATATCGCTCTAATTTCCAAAATCCTAGCTTAGATCCTGATATTTACCTTTTTTATTTATATGTTATTGTGCAGTCATTTACCACCTTCAGAAAGGAGTGTTGCTTTACTCAAAAATGGAGCCGATTGTCAATGTTTCTCCTCTTGTGTGATTGTGGCAGGTGTACTGTGGTGTGTGCTGTAACAAAAAGAGCAAGCTGAAGTACCTGCAGAAAGAGGCTCGAGTGTGCGTCATCTGTTTTGATTCAATACAACGCGGTGAGTCTTTTGAATATGCTTTTAGTGCAGCTTCTTTAGCTCCTAATTTCTCACAATGTGGGTTGTGAGTCAAACGGATCGCAACAATCCATGCTTAAAACCTCTATCCCTTGCAGCCTGCCTTTGCTCGGGGGCAGGTCCGCTGGGGTCCGACCGTCCTCTGAAGGGGAGCTTGATGGCTGTTGTAGAATCAGACGTGTCTTGATGGTGGTACGGGAAACTTCTCGCACTTTCGAAAATGGGATAAATTACAATTTAAGAATTTAAACTCATTACAGAAAAAAGTGTCTTTATAAAATGCCCTTGAAAAAAAAGTACACTCCGCAATTTGCATTTTGTTTAGTAATGTTTTTGGCTAATGTTTGAATTGGCAAAAAGGAAAAGCAGGTAAAATGCTAAGTGAATTGTCAGTGGCCACAGACACTGTGTATAATGTTGGTCGGCCTTCAAGTTGAAGTTAAAACACGGATCTAGAGAAATTACTGTTGAGTTTATTTATTTCAAGTTCAATGTACGTCAAACGTTAATTATCAAATGTCACTCATTACATACATACACAGACATTTTATAGAAAGTCATTCATTTAATTACTTGTTACAAAATTGTACATTATTCAAACTCAAAGAGGGAGGAAGAAAAAGCTTGTAAATTCCCACCCCTGTGGATATCATAAATACTTCCGTCTGTTTTGAGCCAGTAGCAGAGCAATGTGCAACAACTGTATTCAAGCCAGATTAATAAAATAAGTTTCTGGTGTTTTGAAAGGTGCTTTTTTATTAAATTAATTTTTATTCAAACGATGCTGATATTTATTGTTTTCCAACCGCTGTGTGCGCGGAAGTTGACAGGTTTTGTTGGGTGTGACATTATTTCTTATCATCGTGCCTTTGTGGAATATCTGGCCCGTTTTTCAATATAAGTGGTGATGACGGCGACGTGGCTCAGAGACTTAAGCCGTGACGATTGTGGTGAGTGAGTCGTAAGAGCGCGGTTTAATATTTGTGTTGTGCCACATACACAGAGTAGAATCTTTTATTATGAATTGGTGATAACTTTCATGTTACATTCCAAGCCAAAGTGCTTACTCTAATGTGAACCAACATGAGACACATTTCCACATACATGATGCTCCGCCCACTGCTCTAAAAAATAAAACAGAGCAGCGGTGTGATACAGTAAGGAGACTTAGGCCCTGTCCACACAAAGTCAAGCTCAGGCCTAAACGCAAAAATACTTTATCAATCCAGTGTATCGTCCATACGAGGCCGGCGTTTTGGGGGGGTGTAAACGAACATTTTTGAAACTAGGTCCCAGAGTGGAAAGATTTCAAAACTCTGTATATGCCGCTCCGTGGTTACTGCCTCTCCGCAATGTATCTGAGACGCTTGCGTCATCGCCCCGCCTCTTGTTAAAGCACGCATGCGCCGCACTCAGAAAATAATGACAACAACAATGTAGCTTGTTGGTTTTGTAATCCAGTGTGACCCGAAGCAACAGTTCAACCTCATCGTCCGTCCATACTAATGTAGTACCAGCTCGCCCACTCGCCATGTTGTCTGTTTACAAAATTCCGCGCATGCCCACGGAAGTTTGGGCTTGATCCCGTCATTGCGTCACAGCGCCACCAACAGGTCTGGCATAGTTTCACAGCGTTTTCAGGCGTATTGACTACATTCATATGGACGCACACATTTACTGAGCTAACTCCGTGTTTACAGAAAAAGTTTCTGAAATTATAAGCGTTTTGTCTTCGTGTGGATATAGCCTTAGAATACAAACTTTCAATGCTCAGTTATACTCGTGCTCACCCGTGACACTAGAGTGACATAAGCATCTTAATTGTTTGTTATTCACCCTGTAAAAATAATGCAATAATCACCTTATAGACCTATGTATCATGGTATGTATTGTTAGAAACAAGGCAATGCACACCCCTAGAAAATAGTCACAATTTAAATCTTTTGCCCCAGGACAAAACCATGTGTTCTGAAAGAAACACCGCTTCACAAACACAAACTTCTCACTGTTGTCGCATTTGAACTGGAGTAAGGGGCGTAACAATGTAGAATTGTCACAATTTGATTCAATGCATTTAATTACCATGTGTTAAATAATTGGACACGTTCTAGATTTCTTATATAGGAATATATATTTTTATATATTTTTTATATATTCCTGGGCTTTTATCCCCACCGCTGTCAGACTGTACAATAAGTTACTTTAAGTCACTTGCACTAAGACAAAAAAAAGAAAAAGCACTACTATTTCAACTTTCTTTAAATACCTTTTTATTGTACATAATATATCCTGAATTTAACATGTTTGCACACTTCTTTCTTTGCACAAATCTTGAGTGTTTCAATCCATGCCAGATGTGACATGTTCTCTTGTGTGAGATCAATAAAGTCTTATCTTACAGCATCTCGCTGGTACTCAAATTGCATGAATATTGTATTTATTTATGTTATTTTTCAGCAGAGGGTTTCATATTTCACCTGTGATGCGTTCACATCATCTACACTTGGCAGAGGTTTAAAGGCCACATAGTTTAATTTTTGTGTCAGTGGGGCCTGGTGGTGTGTCTCGTTTGGTTGGTTTTGTTTTCATTGAAAAGGTGCTACAGCAATTCAATCAAGAGGAGACCAAACTAATTGGGCACAAACACACAATTGGACCATCTTGGCTTTTATAGATATAAAGCACAAAGACCCATTTTATGTTTAAATCTAGATAGACTGCCTTAAAAAACTATTCGATTTACGATCAACTAGATCAATAACTCAATTAAAGCCAGGAATCGTTTAACTTTTATTTATCCTTTATTTAACCAGGACAGTCCCACTGAGATTGTCTTGGCAGAGGAACATATATTTGTAAACATTATTTTTACTTTGAATGAATAAATGAAGGTTTAAAAATGTATAGGTCTATTTCGTTGCAAATCAGGAAGGTAACCAAAAAGGTGTAGGCTGAAGCTGTGGCTTATGATGCCTACCCTATAAACAAAACAATATCCACCCAACTAAACTAGTCAAATTATACATATGTTATATATATATATACAGATATATGTATGTATAAAACATATCTATATGGTACCCATAGCTCTGTTACCTGCTTTGGAGCTCCATCTGAACACATGATTCTATTAAAAATGTTTTTCTGATTTGTTTATGGGCATGAGCAGTTATCTCAACGACTGTAGAAACACAAGTGAAGGAGAGGGGGAGGGAGGGAGAGAGAGGGGGGGGGAGAGAAGGAGAGAGGGGGGGAGAAGGAGAGAGAGAAGGAGGGATGGGAGGGGTAGATGGACTGGGAGTCAAAGTAGCATTTGTCCTTGGATGTGTGGCGGAGCAATCACCTAGCACAGTGACCATGTGATGCTCAGATAGTCTATATTAAGAAGGAGGAGGTGCTCTGATTCTTGTAGCTGCAACATGCGCTTGTTTTTCACATCTCCTGCGCCTAGCACCTCCTGCTTTTGTGCCTCATTGCACATACCCGTTTAAGCTAACAGGCTAACATTGGACTGACTACAACTGCAGAAAATGAGTGACCAAATTCAAATAAACGTGTGAACTGTTTTTTTTTTTTTTACTATACCGGAATGGACTCAATACCCTTGCCACAGTTCAGGATGGGGTAAGAGATGACTTGAGATGAGTTTGTTGTTTTGAATTACCTGAATATCTATCGTGTCGTTTGTTTGTTTGTTTGTGTACCTGGAAAGGGTTGTGCTCCTGCATAAGGGCTGTAATGTAAATTAATGTAATGTAGCGGAATGCTGACGGTGCAGATTTCAAAGCACATTATGACAGAAGCTTGTGCCATTGATGTGTGTATCCTAGAAGTAATTCCACACCTGTTATTGACCTTAATCCAAATAAGGCTAATTTAGCACAGTGGCTAAGTAGATAGCACTGATGCCTCACAACAAGAAGGTTGCAGGTTTGATCCTTTGGCATTTCTGTGTGGAGTTTACATGTTTCTTCCTGTGTCTGGGTGGGTTTCCTCTGTGCTCTCTGGTAACCAATAACAGCATAGGTAAAATGTTATGTGAATGCACCGGTCAAGCAGAGAATCATCTGGACACTGCATGGTTGCCGTAGTGGCAATAGTGGCATGGGTCAAATGCGGAGGTTACATTTCCATACATGAAATTACATGAAAACCAATTTAAAAAAAATAGTTATACTAATATTCTACATCTTTTAAAATACCCCGCTTTTAAAACTTAGTTTTTGGGCTTGTTCACACTAAAGGGCACAAAAGTCTGACAAAAGGCCAAAAATTAGATTTTAATAATCATAAGATATTTTATGTTTTTCATGTTTCCAAACACCACCTCTGTCCATTAGAAGTTGCTAGAACATAACTGTTTTATACATTAGACAAGTTTCCTATAGCGGCCCTGTTTATTTTATGTAACGGACGTGATGATTTGACGGAATGAGCTTTGTGGAAGTTTGATAGGTATTTTCAGATGTCCACATTTGATACAGAGATTCTATTTTTTTACACAAAGTAGATGCAAAGTGATACTTTCATATTGTCAAGCAATTAAATGTGAAAACAGACCAGATTTTTTTTTTCTCAAGTTTAATTTTTAGAGAAAAGAGGACTGTCCTCACCACGTTCGTTATAAATTTTTCAGGGGTCATTTAATTAATTAATTATTTTTTATTTTTTTACGATTCCTTTTTATATCAAGTGATTTCCTTCTGTTGTGTTAACCATGTACATCTTGTGGGTTTTCATCTTCTGCTTTTTCAGACTGAGGACATTTTATTTTCTATGTAACTGTCGTCACAGTAGAATGGTCCAATCGGAAGCTAATTTGGTCGTTTAAAATGTTGCAAAACATTTTTATGTCAATCTTTCCTTTTGATTTTTTTCCACACTATCTCTTCAATGTGTCTGTGTTTGAAATCTTTTTTACAATCTATGAAAGTCATTTTAGTTTTTAAGTTATAACCTTTAAAGTCCAGATACTTCAGTCGTCACTTTACTGTGAACACACTCTTTTACAAATCAGCCACACCAGATAAAAGGTGCTGGAACTCCATTTGCTCATGCCCTTTACTTTACTGGTGGCACTTTGCTTATTGAAAAAGGAAAAGAAAAAGGGTTTCCTCTAGCACCATTTTAAACTGCACCCCTAAACCACTCCCTCACAGTTGGGACAAACAAAATGTTTTATATATGGAAGATAAAAAATGTTTGGAGCCCATCTTATGTGTCTAGTTGTGTGTATTTGGTTTTATATTTGGTTTAGAGATTTGGTCAGGACGGTTAAGGATAGGGGTGGGTCCCTCAGGGTACCTCACGATATGATGTGCAATACAAAGCTCACGATAACGATTATCTCACGATATTACGATGCAGCAGTTATCGTTATATTGGTCAAAAATATACCTACAATAATAATTTGTCTTATTTTTATGGCATAAATTAAGTGAAAAAATATACTTTATTTCAAGATAAATGGATAAAGTGTCATGTGTAACATTAAAGTGAGCAAGCAAAAATGCTTTTTAACCTGCACATTTTAGTAAAAATCGTACTTAATCTGTCTTGCATCCAATAAAATCAATATGAACAATCTACAGAAATTATAGAATGCGTAATGTGGCCATATATTAAGTAACAATACTTAAAAAAAAAAAAAGAAATTATATATTATTTTTTTATTGATACTTAGCAAAAGCATATCGATAATCGATTGTGTATCACTATATCGATATTTTTGTCACACTCCTAGTTAAAGACCTTATGACGGGTTTGATTTATTTAGAAATACAGTTTTAATACCATTTTATATTAGAAGAGAACTACTAAAGGTTTCAAAATCAGTTGTTTTTTTTGTCTGATCCCCCCAAATCGAAATAACCCCATAGCAACGCCCTTAGAAACGAAAAAACTTCACAGCCCTTGGTGACGTCAGAGTGGGTACGTTTCAACGCTGTAAGTTGTTTACAATTTGGTATTCGTTCTTTTTTCGCGGATATTCAAGATGACAAGGCCGTGTACAGCGAGTCTAAGATAACTACTAGAATGTACCATTTCGTTGTCACTGAGATAGTCCAGTGGTTGTGTCGATGGACTGGCAATCCAGATACTTGGGTTCAAATCCCACCTCGGACACTTTTTCACACTCAAAACGGCAATGTATGTGTAGTGAGCAATTGTCACCTGTAGAGTGCAGTATTGTGTTGGGCATCAGTGGAGAGAAGAGAGAAAAGGCAGTCCTGTGATCCATGGTTTTCAATGCATAGGCGTAATCCGCTATGACGTCACACACAGGTTAGAGCAGCCATTCCCAAACTCAGTAACACCGAGGCCCCCTTAAAAATCTGACGGGTCTGCGTGGCCCCCCAAAATAATAACCAAGAAGACAACATTAAGAATAGGCTCTTCTGGTTATTTTATTTTGGGGAAATAGCCTCTGCTACATACACAAATTATTACAGTGGATTATTCAAGTCAAATAATGAACACAAATATTTTAATATTACAAACAAAACATTATAAATGTAACATTAAATAATTATATTATTTTTTTTATTTATTTTATGACCTCCCGCGGCCCCCCTGCAGTACCCTCGCGGCCCACCAGGGGGCCGCGGACCCCACTTTGGGAGACACTGGGTTAGAGCATAGACAACTTAAATTCATGAAAAACACGTTCTTTTTATAAAATATAGGATTTTTTTTGCCGGAATCTCTTTCAAATTGACATTGTCATGCAATTTTGATATCCACTATTTTTTTTTAAAAAAAAGGTCTTTAAGGAGGTGGTAGTCTGGTATCAATGAGATTTTTTAGTTTTGTATTTGTCTTGTTGCATATACTTTTTGCTCATTTCACCAATTGTTTTTCCCATACAGTTATATAAAATGTCCTTGTCATGTATTGAATTCATTATAGATTGTCTGAATAATCTGCATAACTTTCCATCAACAGCCCAAGCGCTGGAGCGGATGATGAGCCCGACTGGGCCGAGTCCAAACCCAAACATTCCCTCTGAATACTGCAGTACAATCCCACCTCTGCAGCAGGCCCGCGCTGCCGGAACTTTGAACTCTCCCCCTCCCACCGTCATGGTGCCTGTGTCTGTCCTCAAGCACCCAACAAATGAATGTAAGATCCATCGTTCGGCTCAATGTTCTGCTCCTTTCTCCATCGAAACTCAATCTTTCTCCACTGGCGGCAGGTTGTACACGAGAGCAGAAACGTGTGTGGTTTGCAGATGGGATTTTACCTAATGGAGAATTTGCAGACACGGCAAAGCTATCTGTGACAAACCGAAAAAGTGGAGATTTTACACCAGACCAGACAGTAAGTCATACAGATACACAGAATGTCCGGCTTATTCTAAAGTACTTGGTATTCAAAGTAATTGTCGTCTTAGCCAAGCCCAGCTGAGTCTGAGACTGGCAGCCGTGGCCAATCAGCCTCTGAACCAACTGTTGCGGCAGAGATTGAGCGGCCGCTTCTCTCTGGTCCCTGGGACATAACCCTCCTGTCTGCTGTCATTTCTGCAGTAAAAATGATTCCCAGTCTCCTGCCAGATAATGCAGATGATCTGCCTCCGTTGCTGATTACCACCGGGGAGTCTGACGTTGGAGGTATTACATCTGCAAAGCTTTTTTCACTTTCACTTTGTTGTTGATACATGTGTTTTTGGTTTAGATATTCTTGTGGAGGAATGTCCGGCTCCTTGCCAGATTCTACATTTACTGGAGGAAGGAGGACCTCGGCCTTTAATGTTTGTTCTGAATGCCAACTTGCTGGTTAACGTCAAAATAGTAACTTGTAAGTTTAATACAGTATCAGAGATTTTCATTATTGTTGTTTTTCTGATAATGCATTAACAAAATTCTTAAATCTGTTCGATCATTTTTGCTTTTCTGTCTTATTTTTTTAGATGGCGGCCGGCACTGTTGGTGCTTTGGATCCACAGGGCTACAGGCTCTGGGGCAGAAAGAGTTGGTCTTTATATTGGAGTGTTTGCCAGATGAAAAGACATTGCCACAAGATCTTTTCACCCTTTATCTCAACATTTACCAAGATGCCCAAAAAGGTCCGTAGATCATTCTACTAATTTATTGAAAACATTTAAATGCTGTTGCCACAAGAATTTTATATTTTAATGTGACAATATACTAAACCCATTGTATTTCTAAATGAATTTCTTTCCTTTTATAACTAGTAATTTATTTTCTTTTTAGGGAAGTTTATTGATGAGCTGGATAACATAACATTTACAAGCAGTTTCTTGGGCAGCAAAGACCATGCTGGGATGCTGTTCTTCTCTCCCAGCTGTCAGCCTCTGGAAGAGCTCAGTCTGCCTCCTCAGCCTTTCCTCTTCGGTCTGCTCATACAGAAGCTCGAAGTTCCCTGGGCTAAAGTCTTTCCTCTGAGACTTCTTCTGCGGCTGGGCTCAAAGTTTGAAGGTAGATTTTACATTCTGTTCTAATTTTTTTTTCTGAAATGTTAATTTTATAAATTATGTATTTTTCAGTCTACCCAACGCCGCTGCATAGTGTGCGTTTCAGGGATGCAGTGTACCGGGAAACAGGCCACACAATAATGAATTTACTTTCTGTAAGTAACAAGTTGCCTTGTGTGTTAGACAAATGTAAGTATTAATGGGTTCCTTGTTGCCTTTTTTAATTCTGCAAATAAAGTTGTCAGGGTTTCTAAGCTAAAACCAGGCTTCCATCAGATGATCCAGAACCACATAACCATGATTACAAACATGTGATTGTCTGGATCTCTGACCCAAAGCTGCTGCTTTCATGGATGGTGTTTGATAGGAAAGAACCAATACAAGTAGTGGCAGTGCATGTGTCTCAAACTTGATTCACAGAAATTAGAATGGATTGTTGAATATTTTGTATTTTAAACCATTTTTTTTAAATATGCCATTTATCTGAATGCACAATAACTCCTCCATTGTCCTGGAATTCACATGTGACTTGTGACAAATTATCAATAATTTGAAGTGCCAACACATGGGCTGCGCAGTGGCTGAGTGGATAGCACTCTCGCTTCCCAAGTAGAAGGTCCTTGGTTCAAATCCCATTTGGAACAGGTTTTTTCTGTGTGGAGTTTGCCTGTTCTCCTAGTGTCAGCTGCGTAGGTTTCCTCCTGGTGCTCCCGTTTCCCCTACTACGAAAAACATGTACAATAGGTCTGGCATGAGCCTCCTGTACTGGCGACCGCGCTCCCATCTCTGTGTGGAGAAAAAAAAGACCATTATAAAGCACTTTGTGACTCTGGTTTGTGAAAGGAGCTATATAAATAAAGATTACTTACTTACACACGTTAAATTGATTTAGTAGTAGTTTTTCTCAAATCCATATAGATTCACTTAAAATACAAACTGAGAGCCCCACTTTGGGAGCCAGTGTGCGAGAAGAATCAGACAATTGATCTGTTTCAAATGGGAGTCTTTTTGATTCCAGGATCTTAGAAACTACCAGTACAGTCTGCCTGTGGTGGACGGCCTGAGGATTCACATGGAGATGGGTCGTAGTTACATTGAGATCCCCAAAAGCAGCTTCAACGAGGTAAGACAAACACAGAACATAATATAAAATTATTCTTTCAGCTAGTTCTGTTTCATGGAGGAAATTCAAATTTACACCCTTTTACTTTGCTTGAAACTGTAATTGAGTGTAATTCATTATTTTTTCTAGATGCTAAAAGTTGTAAATTCGTCAAACGAGCATGTGATCAGTGTTGGAGCAACTTTTAGCTCTGAAGCAGACTCCCACCTGGTGTGTTTTCAAAATGACGATGGAAACTATCAGACTCAAGCGAACAGCAAGCCAGGGATGACCCGCACAGGTGACAGACTGGTCTTTCAGCTCTTTATGTATTCTCTGCACTTTTGTTTAAATGGTTTGCACTTTGTAGTGACTGGGGCCAGTTTTGCTGTCTTTAATGGAGCCCTCAAAGCCTCTTCTGGCTTTAAAGCCAAGTCCAGCATTGTTGAAGGTAATTCAAGTTTGTCAGCACGCATTGTACGGTTTGGGCTTTACCCTGTTCTTCTGATGTCTACAGATGGACTGATGGTCCAAATCCCTCCAGAGATCATGGAGTCCCTTCGCCTCGCGCTCCGAGAGCAGAGAGACTTTGACATACACTGTGGCAAAAGTGATGACACAGAGGTTAGAGAAACTGTGACTGTGCGGTGGATCGACTGGAGTGCACCCGTCAATAAGGGGTAGAGTAAAGTTCTTCAGTCTCATCTGAGTTTTTGGTTTGAAATCTCTTTCAATTATTGGAATATTATAGCAAATATTAGAATTAATTTGGATAATGATAATAACAGCAATAATACTGTAATAATCCTCCTACTCAGAGTGTCCACACTGAATAATGCACTGTAACCTGTGAATGAAGTATATGTGTGTATAATTGTTTGTACCTTAAATATTTGTATGCTTTGTTTGATTGGGAAATTGTCTACAGAGTTTACAAGTTATTCTTATTTAGGAAGACGAGCGCAGTAGATGGGAAACCATTGGATGGAGTCTACAGTATGAGAGTTCGGCAGGACACAGAGTTTGAATCTGAAGGACGCTCGATCAGATGTACTGAGGTATGACTTTTACTTATCTATATTAAAAACCAAAACTGTTCTCGTTATGGGAATAGTAAATGTCAACTTTATAAATGTACAAATTATTTAATTGTTTTATGCTCGAGTGACATTTTTCATTGTTCAAACAGATTTTCTGCCAGTTGAAATGTCCAGACAGCAGCCTCATGTCGGTGCTGGCCTCGTGCAGTGCTTTTCAGAAGGACATTGCTTTGGCCACATGCGGCGCTCTCACCCCTCTGCTCTCTGTGCTCATGAGCAGTGGTATTAATGCATTATCCCTGCGCGTCTCCACTCAGGCGGACATGGTAACACCTCACCATACTAGTTTAATTGTAATAATGCAGTGCTAATATTTGACTTTCCCTTAGGTTGAGTACCAAGCTGGTTCTAAAGGGAGGCTTCTCCCACAGCGTTACATGAATGATTTGGACAGTGCTTTAATACCCGTCATTCACGGAGGAAGTGCAAGTGTCCCTCAGACCGCTATGGACATGGAGTTTGTTTTCTTCATTACATCAAATCTATTGGGCCCACAATGCATGACGAGCCCAAGATGATGGAACTAAACAAGGAGTGACTGAGGAACTGCTGCAGACACAGAATCTTCATGTACTGTATTCAAAAAGCCAAATGCTTATTAAGGACATCCTTACCAAAAAGCAGAGCCAGTGAATGTTACTGCAACACTCTTGGATGTATTTATTGTTTATACTTTTTGATGATGATTTAAATTAAATCAATAGTACCAGGTCTGTATGATATGTCATCTATGCATATATAACTTATTATGTAATAATTTTAGTCACTCAAGGCTGAACTATTAAGAGAAAGAATGATACACTACAGACATATACTGTATGAAATAATTTTCTGCTCAGAGCTTTGGGGCTGGAGAAAAAAATGACACAAGAGAAAATGTATTTTTCAATGGATGTTTTCTTTTACCTTTTTAAATTGAGTGATGCATTCAGTAGTTTAATTTAAACGTTATTGCGATTCCTATGTATTCACTGCTACAGTGCCACACATAAGACGATGTGTGGTCCTTTTCATGAATGAATATCTCAGCAGCGTTTCTCATCATACAAACCTGGTTGATGTGATTAACTACATTTTGTAAATGTACTCGTGACAACTGCTTCTTGAGCTTTTCTATTTGTTCTGGACGTGGGGCAAAAGCTGTAATGCACGTTGCCTTCTGACTTTTCTTTCTATTCTAATGTACAGAAAATATACTTTATGAAAATACCTTGTACTTTGTTTTGGTTTTATTATGAGTTGACAATGGGAAAATTGAATAATTGTATATTTTTATAGAACATATGCAGTTATAAAATACTAGATTATCTTGTTATCAACTGCTGCTTAATGTAATGCTTTTATTTGAATCCTTTAATACATGCTTTATATGCATGTGTTTTTGCAAATCCATGAACTTGCAATACATTTTCTCCGCATTCATTCATTGCCATATTTATATTGTATTGTAGTATTTTTGTCTTTCAAACTTTTGTGCAAAAGACAACACAATAAACAGGATACAAAAATATAAGTAAACATTTAATTGAATAACAATGTACAAAGAAAAAACCTACTTTGTGATTACATTTATTGACTTCAAAATCTCAGCACCATAATGTAAACAATGTGGAGTTCTAAAATAAATTGCACAAATAGTGCTAGATAATGGCACTAATTGGTGAAAAAGGGCACCTGCATAAGAACTAATGCCTCGAGGTTTGATACTTTTCAGTTGTTGCCAACCAAAAGAAATCACCATGGGTTTTGAATATTATAATCTGACAGTGAGGTAAAATTAATTTTAGGTGAGGGTAAAAAAGTTTATTCCAAATTTCAAATCATGTAAAATTGTAATTGTATACATTCTTTAAGTGTATAGCTACATGAACTAGAATTTAGTTTAACTAAGCGAGGACAGGTATACCCAACTTTTGTGCACAAGCCAAATAAGAAAAAGGAGACAGTCTTTGTATGTGGTTGTACCGATGGCAAATTGTGCTAAAGTTGAAGTTTTATCAGTACTTTTCCAAGCCACAGTGTAGATAATGATACAAATGATATGCATGGTCTTGGGTATTCTGTGACAGGACCCACTGCTGACCTGTTTGAAGTCGGTGTGTCGCTCCTCCCTCTTTTATGGTAAAACACTGAGATTAGGCCACTCTGAAATGCTCACAACTCACAGACGGCACAAAGATGAGTGGACGAGTAGGAGACCTGATTCCAAGGCAGAGGGAAACTCTGACTGAGGTGAGAGTATTTAAGATTTAAGTTTTATAAATTAGTGATGGTTCTGTTATTATTTTTTTACCCTGTAACCATCCAAGTATTTCCATCTTATCCTTGTGCAAAATTCAAATTGGAAAAAAAATGAAGTTTACAATATGGTAATTTTTCAGTTTCGAGAGAGAATCCAAGACATTCTCGACCACCTGCCAGAACAAGATGACCACTACCTTCTGCGCTGGCTCAGAGGTAATCACCGGTTCTGTTGGTGTCAAAGCAATCTCTCAATTCTCTAAAAGATAAATTAAGACACACAAGTTTATCAACATCTAGACTTGGTACACCTGTTTATAATTCACACAGACATAGACAATGATACCAGTCACATGAAACTAGTTTGAATTGCTTAATGTCATGCGTTAGAGCCAAGAAACAGGTTTCCTTGTCCCCTGTGAGTGGAGGGTATTTTGTTTACTCTTTACTCAAGGAGAAACCAGGAATTGTATTGTGAAAAGGTCTATTTGCAAATATATTATATTTCACTTTGACTAGAGTCGGTTGACCAGAGTATTTCCAAAAAAGTGTATTCATGTTAAATCAGTATTATTTTTATTATTCTACAAAAACCGAAATCATTCATATATTTGCTCCGTGTAGTAGTTTGCCTCATGGTTCTTCTTATCACACAGTCAACATTTGCTTTACCCCTGTGCACTTGATCTGTGCCTAAAATTATCTTGTTTTCCAACTCACTTTATCTTAACATCGTTTCCATAAATCAGGTTTTGTGCATGTGTTTTTTTTTTTATTTCCTCGTTTTTGTCTCACCCCGAGATTTGCAAGTTAGAGAAACACATTTGTTGGTATTTTCTGCAATATTTTGCACATTCTGCCGGAGCTAATCGATAGTGCCCTTTTACATAAGTGAGGCCAGTGTTTGTCAACCTTGAACATACCAATAATCAACGTTTGTTTTTTTCCCCAGCTCGTAATTTTAGCGTTCAAAAATCCGAAGCGATGATCAGAAAGGTAATGTAATAGGTATAATATCCTCTTTTAGTGTTAATAAAGATAGTTTGTTTCTTTCTTCAGCATTTGGAGTTCAGAAGACAGATGAAAGTGGACACTATTGTTGAGGACTTTAAACCTCCAGAGGTACATTTTGCATCATGTTTGAGGAGATGGGGCCCCAATGCTGTTGCTACCAGTGACATTGCAGGGTGGGGGGTAAGAACAAGATAAGAAAAAAACATACTTTATTCGTCCCACAGTGGAGAAATACTAGTGTTGCATCACAGGTTACAGAACAAACACACACAAACATGTAATTCAAAAGATCAGAGCGACGGAAGAATTACCGGAATAAAACCAGGAAACACATGTTATGCTATATTGTGGATTACAGCCATAAGACAGCTCTTCCAGCCCAGGTATGAGCAAGGTTTGTGGAGGTGCAAGCCAGCTCAGAGTTGACAAAGTTTATACTATTCCTGAGTGTCATAAAAAAATAAAAAATAAAAATAAAAATTATATTGATGACCTTTTTGCCATAAAGTTGGACTTGAGCATTACAATCATCACATAAAAGGTCCCATTCATTTTATATTCCACAATTAAAGCTGGGGTACCTAACTTTTTTCATGAATAATGCGTTTTGTTTGTCCAATAAAATAATAGTATTGTGAAAGTAAAAATCTGTGAACAAATTAAACCACATTCCGTCTTCATTATATTAGACAACATCTTTTTCATACTTGTCAGAGCCTCTTTGAGTCAGTATTGGACGCTTGGGGCTGAGAGCTGAGGGCCCTCTCTTGTTCACTTTTTCTGAAGATAGAAAGATACGATGAGTGAAAACTAGTGATAGAACCCAAATGTTTTAGAGCGAGGCACCGGTGACATGGATTTTATTACATATTCCGTTGTTGTTGTTGAAAATGATTAACCTTCAAATATATGCTGCTTTCTTCAAATCAATTCGAAGAAAACTAATTGAACCTACTATCCTTCATTTTACCTTTACCTTTTTTCAGGTTATTGAAAAATATGTGTCTGGAGGGATGTGTGGTTACGACCGAGAGGGCAGCCCCATCTGGTATGATGTGATCGGCCCCCTCGACCCCAAAGGCCTCCTGTTGTCAGCCACAAAGCAAGACTTCCTTAAAACCAAAATCCGACATACAGAAATGCTTCGGAGGGAATGTAAACGGCAATCTCAAAGAGTGTGGAAATTTGTGTTTGGCCTTTTAAAAAACGTTTTATGTTTAGTGACAAATGTAATTTTGCATTCTCTTTTCTAATCAGCTGGGGAAAAACGTCGAGGCTATTTCACTTATCTACGACTGTGAAGGCCTGGGCTTGAAACACATGTGGAAACCTGCCATTGACACGTATGGAGAGGTTTGTTCTGCATTTATCCTCCTCACAATATATTGTTCAAACTATTGATCTCTGTACTGTAGGTGCTAACAATGTTTGAAGACAACTATCCAGAAGGGCTGAAGAGGTTGTATCTCATCAAAGGTGAATAGAATATGTTGTATTTATAATATATATTTTTGTTTTCAATCATTTAATTTAGTATTATCTTGTATGAAGCTCCAGCCATCTTTCCCATGGCCTACAACTTGATAAAGCACTTCCTTTGTGAGGAAACACGCCGCAAAATTGTAATTCTAGGAAGTAAGTGAAAATGTATTCTGTTTTTTCAAGTTTTAACTGATGTGAAAGCCTAATATATATTATATGTAATCAAAATATGTTTTAAAAGGTGACTGGAAAGAGGTGTTGCGAAAAAACATTGATCCTGATCAGCTTCCTGTGGTGTATGGAGGAACGCTGACTGATCCTGATGGTGATCCCAGCTGCAGGACTATGGTGAGAGGAGTTTTTATTAAGGGTGTTTAGTTTAGTGGTAAGCACACATGCATCACAGCCATAGGGTCAGCCGATGACACTCAGGTTTACATTTCCACAAAATCCATCACCCCAGTCATCGTCTCCACCATCACACAATGCATTTCTGACATCAAAACATGGATGGACTACAATTTTCTCAAACTCAACAGCAATGAAACAGAATTCCTCCTCACCGGACCCAAATCCCTCCTCCCCTCTGCCCAGAACATCTCCCTCACCATCAATGGCCACTCTGTCACTTCCTCTCCCTCTGTGCGCAACCTTGGCGTTATACTGGACTCCATCCTTACATTCAATCCACACATAAAACATCCTTCTTCCACCTTCGCAACATTGCCCGTCTCCGCCCCTCCCTCACACAATCCACTCCCTTCCACTCATCTTCAAAAACCGCATTACAACCCGAACCCCTTTCGCCCGCCTGCTCACCCACACCCGCTCCAGAGACCATATCCCCCATGTCCTCAAACAACTCCACTGGCTCCCTGTTCCTTACCGCATAAAATACAAGGTCCTCCTCCTCACCTACAAGTCTCTTCATAACCTGGCCCCCTCTTACCTCACTGACCTCCTACATCACCACTGTCCCACCCGCCGCCTCAGATCAGCTGACTCCAACCTCCTCACTCTCATCAGAACAAAGTGCCGAACCTTGGGGGACCGAGCCTTTGCTGCGGCTGCCCCCACTCTCTGGAACTCACTCCTACCTCACATTAGGAACTCTGACTCACTGCAGAACTTCAAATCACTTCTCAAAACCCACCTGTTCAAAACTGCCTACACTTAACTGTTTCATTTTAGCTTTTATTTTTTGTTTATTATTTTTCTTCTGTAAAGCGTCTTTGAGTGTCCATAAAAGCGCTGTATAAGTACGATATATTATCATTATTATCTATTATAAGGTCCTGGGTACAATTCCTCCTCCAGACAAGGACTTTCTGTGTAGAGTCATGCATTTTGTCTGCAGATAAATTATGGAGGCACAGTTCCCAAGTCTTATTACATCCAGGACTCTGTGAAAGTCCAATATGACTGCAGTGTCACCATCAGCCGTGGATCAGTGTTTCAGCTCGAGTCTGAGGTCATCACACCCAACTCACTTTTAAGGTAAAATCTTCAACATATGTTTTATTTATAGTTATTAGTTTGCAGGTTTGTGACAGTGACATGTATAGCGCAGTGGTTCTCAAATGGTGGGTTGGCAATCAGGACACAAAAGTGGGTCACAAGCCCAGAGTAATTCAGAATGTTGAAATGAACTAATTCACTTATTTTCAAGATTTTTTTGTTCCGTTTCTTTGAATTCAGGGTCTTTTGTTCTTACTTTTTACTGTGTGGTATTATTCAATGATTATAAAACAATAGGGCGACAGTGGCTTAGCTGGTAGAGCATTGGCCTTTGGGACTGAGGGTCAGGGCAAGACACTTAACCCCCCTTTGCCTGAAGCCCCCACTGAAAGATCAAGGCTGTGCTCTCACCAACAGAGCAGCCATCCTCCTGTGGACTCACTGACCTACAGTATAGTGAATATAATACAGACGCCACAGATGGGCAAACACACAGAAGAAGAAAGGATTTTAATTACACACAAAGACGGCACCATGCCATCAGATTCTGGCATATTTTTTGTGGCAAAATTATGTTCAGAAAGTCTAAGTTTAACAACAACTCCACAAGTTACAAGACATTTCAGTTGTGTTTGACTGTGTATTTCCCTGCAGATGGCAGTTTGCTAGTGATGGAGCAGATATTGGGTTTGGTGTCTACAAGCGAACCACAGAGAATGGGAGTCAAAAGGTGACTGAAATGCAGCCGGTTTTGCCGACTGAAAGATATAATTCCCACCTGGTCCCAGAGGACAGCTGCCTGACCTGCTCCGAGCCTGGAGTCTGTAAGCGACAAACGGATGGATCTTAGGGCGGATTGTAAACAGCTCTAATGTGTGTTTTTGTGTGTGCAGATGTGTTGTGTTTTGACAACAGCTACAGCTTCCTTCAGTCCAAGAAAGTGAGCTACAAAGTGGAAGTTGTTCCTTCTGCTGATTTGCAAACTGTGGTCCCACACAGCAGAGGAGATGTGAGGCTGCAATAGAAATGTACTTAGTTTAACTTTCCCATAGTTTTATTTTTTATTAGTTTTAAGGCATTTTCTTTTCCCTTAAGTTCTCTGAAGTTGTTTTGCACCTGTTGATTTGTGTATGTACTCTGCATGTTCCTTCAAATAGGAATAAAGAATATGAATGTTTGTTCGTCAAGCTACACTGGACACTTGTGCTTCAATATGAAATGTGTTTTGAACTGAGGACAAACGTAGATGAAACAAAGGTTGTGTGAATTATCTTTTTGATAAAGATCTAACAAATGCAACTGCAGCACGGAACCAGTGTTGGCTTTTTGGGGTCTTTAAGCTTGAGTCAGCTCAGGGGCCCTCATCATTCAAGCAAAAGACACCACATAATCCACACACAATTGTTTTTCAGTAAATATAATCCACGTTACACATTCCTCTGCAGAGACCTCAATTATCCTCAAAGAAGTGAAGGGTCCTCCCCAGGTATTATGTTTAGATCAATTTAATTTTAATTTAGATTTATTATATTTTTGTCTATTTAGACTAGATCCCTGCGCCCGACCATTAGCTAAATCATGCGTCTCTTAATCCCCCCACTAGATGGCGCACGTGTGCGCGCACTGCTTGATGGGGGGTTACATAACAGTTGGACACTGAATGTTGCGGTGTCTCGATTTTGCCGTTCCAAGGTCAAAGGTTCAAGGTAACCCATCTTTGACAAACATACATGTGGAGGGCTTTATATCGTGCATCTCGATGTTTGAACACTTGTTCTCCGCAGTGAAGATGAGTTGGCCCCGTGCCAAAGGGATGCAGGGATGTGCGGGTGCACGTGGCTTACATAACAGCAGCTACTCCGGGACCTCCAGCCCAATCCTTCATTCGTGTTCATAACTAATCAGTAGATTTCAGAATAATGACTAGGGCCATCGTTGCCATAAACAAGTTGAACTGAAGAATAGAGACAACGTGTTGTGGATAAATCACGTTGAAATACACAAACAATAAATGAAATAGACAGTATCTCGGCCTACATAAACTAGACTTTCATATACATCAAGTAAAAAGACCATGTTTACTTTCAATGCCTGAAGTTTTTCTTCTGTTGCCTCAATAATGAGACGTTTACTTTCTGCCAAGACAGAAGTATACTGACCATATTTCTAAAGTTTTGGGGCGAATTTAACGTTTAAGTGACGTGGGTTAAATGTATTGAGCATGTTGTATAACTAGTTGGTGGTCAGAGGGGCCTCACTTCCGTCAGTCTATCGGAGGGCATCTTTGGCCACTTAACTTTGGAGTGAATGTATAAGATCAAAAAGTGCTTTATAAAATCGATACATTATCATTGTTATGACGTAGTTTATACATACGAATGTATTTCATTCGTTTCTTTTTTCTACGTCGGTATTTGATGTAGAGCTATGCATGTAATGTATGTGTGTATGTAGTTTGGCTGCTGTTGCCATGTGGGGCTGTCAGTTGTCACCATGGTGACAGGGGGTGTGTGCGTGATGCGCGGGGGCGGGGCCGCTGCTGGACATGAGTAAATGACGTCAGCTCGCAGGTCGCCAGGCACTGAAACAAACATGGCGACAGAATGGAGCGGGCAGCAGGGTTATGTTCTCACACTCATCATCTTCTTGTGGAGCGTTGTCGGGGGCCGCACAGAGACGCCTGTCCGCGGGAGCGGGGCACAGGTGTTGGGCATGCGGCTGGAGAGGAGCGACAAGCCCTCCAGGACCAATGACGACGGTGTCATCCAGGTGACTGAGGAGAGCTCGGTCCTGCTCCGGTTTTACGGGGTGCAGCTTCAGTCCAGCACCTGGACACACATTCGCTTCGCAGAGTTGTCCGACAGCGGAGAGGGTGATGCTGAGGAGGAGGCAGAGGAGGAGGCAGTGGCGGTGAGAGGTGGCAGCAGCGGCATGGTGATGATGGACATCCCAGACAGGACTTGTACTGATTTTACTAAAGATATAAGCGTAGGGACCTTTATGAACGTGAGCCGCAAAGGGACGTCAGGCCTGGTCAACATTAACGTCAAACCCCTTCGAAAGAGCGAACCGCACAAGTCGTATGCACTGTGTACCCTGAGCAATGATGGAAGCACGTGGATGATGTTGGGGGGCAGTGATTCGAAGTTGATTGTTGTGGAGGAGAAGGGCTCCCTCTTGCCCCTGTGGTTCCAGGTCATCCTCATCTCCTGCCTGCTGGTCCTCTCAGGGATGTTCAGTGGTTTGAACCTAGGCTTGATGGCTCTGGACCCCATGGAGCTTCGCATTGTCCAAAGCTGTGGCACAGACAAAGAGAAAAAATATGCCAGAAAGATTGAGCCTATTCGTAGCAAAGGAAACTATCTTCTCTGCTCCTTACTATTGGGAAATGTCTTGGTCAACACCACCCTCACGATTCTTCTGGATGATCTCATAGGGTCAGGATTGGGGGCTGTGGTTGCTTCTACAGTTGGCATTGTCATATTTGGAGAAATTGTTCCTCAGGCATTATGTTCTCGCCATGGTCTAGCTGTGGGAGCAAACACTATTACAGTCACCAAGTTCTTCATGCTACTGACATTTCCGCTGTCCTATCCTGTCAGTAAGTTGCTGGACTTCCTTCTGGGACAGGAGATTGGCACAGTGTACAACAGGGAGAAGCTTGTGGGGATGCTGAAGGTGACTGAACCCTACAATGACCTAGTCAAGGAGGAACTCAACATGATCCAGGGAGCTTTGGAGCTGAGAACTAAAACAGTGGAGGATGTCATGACCCCTCTTGGAAACTGCTTCATGATTCAGTCAGATGCTGTGTTGGATTTCAATACCATGTCAGAGATTATGGAGAGTGGATATACCCGTATACCTGTTTATGATGATGAGAGGACTAATATTGTAGATATTTTGTATGTGAAAGACCTGGCTTTTGTTGATCCAGACGATTGCACCACCCTGAAGACCATCACAAAGTTCTACAATCACCCAGTGCACTTTGTGTTTCATGACACCAAACTGGATGCCATGTTGGAGGAGTTCAAAAAAGGTATGTATACATTTACTGCAGAGTTTTCCTCTGCTCTCACATGGAGGAGAATGCTGCAGAGAGATCTGCTTCTGTTTATTCTGTCTCTGTGTATTTCCTGCCTAAGCTTCCTTATTTTTCTAATGATCTGTGTATTGATTAGTGGAAAGTCCGAGCCTTAGCTCACATAACAGCCCTGATTCTGCAGAGGAAAAGCAAAATACCTGCTGGGACTAGCTATTTGGGAAAAATCAGTTCATTACCCCTAAATAAAGTATTCGGTGTCTGTGAAAGAATGCACCATGTTAAGAATAGGAAAATGACAAAGAAATGTTTGATGTTTGATAATTACGTATATTGAAAGGCTATTGTGTTTATACAGACATGATTAAGTAAACATGCAGTTATTCTTGGTTATGTTGAGTACAGCTTTGCCTTTTAGCATTCATGCTGTGTGTTAATGTTATATTGTAAACCAAATCTTTGTACAAGCGAATGTGTAGCAGTGCAAATGCGCCAATGAGGACAATGCTGCATTTGAATATGGGTTTGTCTACTGTGACTACACTAACGTTAATGAAGAGCCCTTTTCTCTCTTCTATAATACTTTGCAGTGCCACTTGATCTCTTTCTGTTTCTTCAGCCTTCCTATCCTACGGCTTATTCATCCGTTTGGCCCGCTTGCTTTTTTCTCCAAAGCTTAGTCTAGTCTGAGCTATATTAAGGCATCAGTGTGTCCTCTTGAAGTTAAATCCACACTGACTGCTCCAACAAATGCTGAATAATGTTGTTGTTGTTGTTGCACACACGCCATGTGATTCAACAGTCTTTCAACAGCTTCACTTTTCATTTGCACTCTGTGCACTGTGTTTATACCTGTAGTGGTTAGCTGAAAGAGATCTTTGTGCTCCCTAGGTAAATCCCACTTGGCCATTGTCCAGAAGGTCAACAATGAAGGAGAGGGCGATCCTTTCTATGAAGTGCTGGGATTGGTCACTTTAGAGGACGTCATTGAAGAGATCATCAAATCAGAGATCTTGGATGAGTCTGATCTTTACAGTGAGTCAGCATTTCTCCATGCAGATTACTATGCATTATTTATGTTGACGCTATTTAAATCTATCCTGTCCCCAATTTTCCTGCAGCTGACAATAGACACAAGAAAAGAGTTGACCCCAATAAATGCAAGCGTGACTTTTCTGCTTTCAAACAAGAAGGTGATAGCAAAGTCAAAATTACACCTCAGCTGATGTTGGCTGCTCATCGTTTCCTGGCCACAGGTGAGCTTCTCATGGTGACTCGCTCACACCACATGATCCAATGGATTATTTACACAAGGTATCTTATGTTTGTGGAATCATTGCACCTAACGTACAGTACAGACCAAAAGTTTGGACACACTTTCTCATTCAATGAGTTTCCTTTCTTTTCATGACTATTGACTGTAGATTCACACCTAGACTGTGTAAGGGCTATTTGACCAATTGTTCAGGTCCTGTGACCTCCACAGTCACAGGACCTGAACAATCCAGATGGTTTTGGGGTGAGCTCGACCACAGAGTGAAGGTCAAAGGGCCAACAAGTGCCAAGCATCTCTGGGAACTCTTTCAAGACTGTTGAAGACCATTTAAACTTACTACCTCTTGAAGCTCATCAAGAGAAAGCCAAGAGTGTGCGAAGCAGTAATCAGAGCAAAAGGTGCTACTTTGAAGAACCGAGAATATAAGACATATTTTCAGTTGTTTCATACTTTTTTTTTTGTTACGTACATAATTTCACATGAGTTTTTTTCATAGTTTTGAGGCCTTCAGTGTGAATCTACAATTTTTTTATAGTCATGAAGATAAAAAACTCCTGAGATGGGTGGGTGCGTCCAAATTTTTGGTCTGTACTGTATATTTAGCCATTTGACGTCAAAAGAATCAAATCAAAACAGAGGGTCACGGTAACTACTAATATTGATTTGTTGTTCAATAACTAATACTGATACCTAATTTACAGTCGTGTATTTTGAGGATTATGAACGATTCTGCAGCTGTTAGTGGTTCGTTTATTGTGAAATAAAGGTTTTCCATCCATCCATCCATTTTCTACCCTTTAATCCATTTCTGGGTCAGGGGGGTGGCAGTCAGAGATGCCACCCAAGTCTCATAGCACCAGCCCAGCACTGACCCTCTGCAGGTGGTGAGTCCACAGGAGGACGGCTGCTCTCTGAGTGTGAGCATAGCCTTGATATTTCAGTGGGGGCTTTGGGCAAAGTGGGGTTAAGTGTCTTTGCCCAAGGACACAACGACAGCAGTCATCAGTGGGAGTCGGTGGAGAAGGTGCAGAGGTGGGAAATGAACCCACGACCTTCTGGCCTAAAGGCCAATGCTCTACCAACTGAGCTTTTGTCGCCGAATAAAGGTTTTTTTTTTTTTTCTATTATCAAATTATAATGACAATATAAATTACATAATGACCCTGATAATAACATTTTAGGTTAAAGTGAAATCGGATCAAACTTCAGGAAGCTGATGCACTTTAGCCATCTGACAAAAGAGTGTGGCCACACCTTTCTAATAGAGATGAATTGTTGTGATCTTGTTTGTGAGTTTACAAAATCCCTCACCACTTCAGGAGCCAGGACTCCCCTGAAAACTATATCTCAGTGGGACTGGTTAAAGGTCATTTAAATTAAATTATGAAGTTTGAGGTCTAATGTATGCATTATGACACTGGTGGATGTGGAAACAGCTTTAGCAGAAATACAGAACCTGTTTTATGAGCAAATGGATTTGTGTGTGGCTTTGCCCTTAAGCTTTAAGTATTTGATCAGTGAATTCTGTCAGCTCAAAATGTACTTAATCTTAGCTACAAGGGTTGAATTGATTGATACACACAAACTGTGGATAATGAAACATTATTAATGAAATGATATTGAACTAACCCCCTCTTTTCTGTAGAGGTCAGTCTGTTTGGCCCCTTTCAGATCACAGAGAAAGTTCTTCTGAGAGTCTTGAGGCACCCGGATGTGATTGAGGAACTGAAGTTCAATGAGAATGACAAAAAATCACTTAAGCACTACATCTACCAGAAAGGAAAACCTGTGGACTACTTCATACTCATCCTGCAGGTGAATCATCAAGAAAGGGAGCAGGGAATGGGGTGGGATGGTAGGCCGAGGTTGCCCAGGGTCACTGCATCAGTCTGTGTACAGTATTGGCATATTAATCAACTGCTTTCCTCAGTTTACAGAGAAACTGTTGAAATTAATGGCACACTCACAGGTTCAAACATTCTATTTTCCACTGCAAAACTTTTCTATTACTCTCAAACGTTCTTTTGTCAAGATACCCCTCTCGATTTGATACATGATAGCCTATGAGTATTTGTAAAAAAAAAAAATTAAAAACACACACACAAACTGCTTCAATAATATTTTTGATATAAATATGTTTCATTAAATATTTCAGCAAACATTTAAATGAAAATAAATGGGTCATGCATACAACCATTCCCTGGATGTATGATGGTGGGAAGGGGGTGTCGTCTCTGCATGTTTGCATGACCTTTCCCTAATAGATCCTCTTATATAAGAGAGACGCACAGGGGCAACTGGGATTTAAGGGTTAAGGAGGATGAAAAAGAAGAAAAGTAGATGGAAGGATAAGATCAACTGTCCAAACAAAGCATGACATATGGATTGGAAATGAAAGAATCCTCCTCAGATGTGCAACTGTTTTGAATAGTTTGTCCTTGACTGTGTTTTTGTTCTAAGGCTGAGGGTTTGCACACGAGTGTTCACACCTTCAGTGTTCATAGTGACTGCAGTCACTCGGTTTGCAACTCGAGCAGCGCTGCTCCTGTTGCATTAAAACATGCATGTCTGTGTGAGTTTTTTTTAAGGGACACTTGGCCAAGACTTTTATGACCTGCCCTTTGTGCTTGTCTGAAGTGGTAAATGAGAGAATAAGATCAGTACTTGTCAGCAGTAAAGGGAGACTGGCAGAATGTAATATTTATAAGATGTTTCTGTTACTTGCCATAGGAGTCGACTTAAAAAGCTGCAAATGCATACAATGTAACGTGTGTCAAAGTGAATGTTATTCTGCTATATTTCAGGGCCGTGTTGAAGTAGAGGCTGGAACTGAAAGCATGAAGTTTGAAACGGGCCCTTTCTCTTTCTATGGAGTAATGGCTTTGAGCACACCAGCCATGGGTGAGATAGCTTTTACATATAACACATATTCAAGAGCTCAAATTAAGCCAGACCAAGATGACGAAAGCCGCAAGATTGTGTTAAATTTGTAGGTATTGTAGTAGCTGATGACACACTGCATCACAACTTGGTAAAGACTGTTACACTACTGACTCCTAGTGGTTCAGAATCATAAATGGATGCGTCTGCTTGAGCTCTTAAATAATTATATACTGACAATCTCTATAGAAAACTCCAGCAACCACGTTTAACTATCATTGTGTGTAATGTGATATTATTCAGTTGTATTTTCTGTGTAATGTTTGAATACATGTTGCTGCTTATTGTCTGCATGTTCAGTGCTAATTATGCTAACATTGTTCATTCTAAAACTGTAAAATCTACACAAAGAAACAACTTAGCGGCCGCAAAACATTGTCATCCACCTTTTTAAACAATCTATGTAACAGCTATATAACACTTTTTATTTTATATTGCAAATGGTCATTATTCAATCAATTCTATTGCACACCAGTTTCTAGTCAGTAAACAAATCCTAGTGTATAATTCCCATATAAAGTAGTCAATTAGAAATAAATCTAAAATAAACAGTTGTGTTTCTCTGCTCCCCTCCCTGACCTTCTTTCTCAGCTGTTACCCCTCCTCCTTCTCCATCAGTGGCATCCCCCCCTCCAAGGCGCCTCTCTCTTAAGAGGTTCTCTGTATTTTCTCGTTTCCCAGGTAAACAGCCGCACGGGCCTGAGCACAAATGGAGAGGGCTCCAATTTTTTCCAATCACCCCCACACCCTCCTTCTTTGCCTTCAAAGTTTCTCTCCAGCAAGTAAAGAGTCTTACAATGAATTACAGATTAAAAATGCCCAAAGTGCAGTCTGCAGAGGGCGTCGTTGATACAGATCCACATTCTAACAGGCAAACTTGCTGGATGGGTAATGGAGAAGTGTCATTTATGCCCTCTAACCTGTTATCACCTTAAACCACTGATCTGTGGTCAGATTGTTCTTAGCTCTATCCATAATTGTAGCTTTTAGCCTTTTTCCACTAAATGCCCTTAACATTACATTGAACTTAGGTTCTATGGTCTCAGTGCATTTAGCACCATAAAAGGCTCACATTTCATTAATTAGTAAACATGTTCTGTCTCGTATCCATTTTTGTCCGTATGATGCATGCCATTTTCACAAATTGTCAGTCCACAATCGTCAATCCTTGTACATGATCTGCTTTGTTTTGTATTTGCTGTGTTGAGTGTGATCAGTGTATCCTCCATAATATTGCTTTTTGCCACCTAAATCTATCTTTGTGCTTCTCTGCCTAATGTGGTTCAGTGTATTTACTTGGTCCTCTCTACATCTTAGAGTTTCGCTCCCCATCTCACGGAGGAAACCTTAACCGCTCGGCTTCTCTGAGCTGCACAGAGCGTGTTCCTGAAGGAAGCTCTGTGGGCGGCAGCAACAGCCAGATCCCAGGCACACCCTTTCAGTACATCCCCGACTTCTCTGTACGGGCCCTAACAGATCTACAGTATGTCAAGGTAACTTTCCTTTTAAATGCAGAGTTCAATGGTTTAAGCAGGCTGTTCTACACCTCAGAACTCATGTATGTTTTTGTAACAAAGGCAAACTAGAAACCATTCTTCCTCTGCTGCTCTTTTGTCGACTGCAGATCACTCGTGCTCAGTATCAGAATGGCCTCTTGGCATCCAGATTGGACAGCACACCTCACTCTCCTGATGGCAGCCAAACTCGCCTGGACATCACAGCCTCCATGCCCCCTGTGACTCCTCCAGGGAGCCGCTCCCCTCTGCCCCTGGCCACGCCTCCTGTGAGAAGACCACCCTCTAACACACAGCCCACACCTCCAGGGGGCCGCATGCTCTCAAGTACCACAAGTTGTAATCGCAGGCTGAGCCAGTGTCTGCCACAACCTGTACCCCCAACCTCAAACCACGCTCCTCTCTCCCAAGCATGCTCCACTAACACTCACACATCGCCCCATTCCTCGATACTGCAACCCCCTCCAGCTGCCCCTGCCTCTGGAAATGGACCAGAGGAGACCACCAGTCTGCTAAGTGATCAGCAGAACTGTGCAGGGCCACGCCGCCCCAGTCACACCATCAGCCACGCACACACAGAGAGCACCATCTGAGGCTCTAGAGCAACTGTGTCATCGATCAACAAAAGATACTGAAAAGAACACAAGTCACTTGAACCTTTCCTGCATGACCCCCCCTTATAATAAGAAGAATGAAAATAGGTAGAGAAGCATTGCTCACAAGTATAGTCTTAATATGTGCCTGCTTAAAGCTCCGTCATTTCCGAGTCAAATGTTTTATTTATTGTTTTGGTAAACATTTTTGGTCATTTATTTTTGTGAAGATTATTGTTTTAACCAAAGAAACTGAGTGAAATAGTCTTATAATGCTACTATTTGTATTTGTAAGAATTTTGCTGTCGTTTACCCTTAATTTTCTGAGAACATCAAAGTCTGGGTTCAGTACAATGGTCATTTTATTGAACCGAATCTTTAAGTAGGCACATAGTCTTTTACGCATGTTCAGACTTGCACTAAATCTGTCTGGGTATATGCCTTCGACCATTGGACTTTTTATTTTTTTCCAAAGGTCATTTTAGGAACTACTTAAAGGGAGGATGGGAGGTCCTGAATCATTTTGATTACCAGCAAACTGACTGAAACACTGTAACAAAGAGGCCGTGTTCTCAGCAAGTTGATTTTAGCTTCAGACATTTTACTTTATCTGTACTGTATTTCCCTGCAGTTTTGTTTAATTCACTACAAGATTGAACAGATTTATTGGAAGGATGTTGAGAGGCCATTGTGTGAATCAGAACTTTCACAATATGAAATTTGACATACACATTTCTTGGGATTAGTCTGCTCAGAGATTACCTTAAAACATTAAGCCATACAAAACAAATCAAAATCTTACATACAGTTCATAGAAGACATATAATTAGGAAGATTATCTATTTATGGAATGACTAGGTGATAGTCATTTAATTTGTAAACTATAACTCCTTTTTGTTTTGACATTTTCTATTGTTAAAATGAATGGAAGACTGCAAAAAATTTAGTTCCATTTTCATTAGTGTAATTTTTGAGGGTTGAGGTTTTCTATTAAATATATTATATATTTATTTATTTAAATTATTTATTTAAGGATTTTGTTTTGACTAAGCTTTACATTTCAAAGTTAAATGCTTCCAATAAGTTTTTATTACATTTTGTCACTGTGAACAAAGCGGCGTTCTGTGCTTATCGCAGTGTAAAGAAATTTTGGTCATCACTGTGAATCCAAATGGCGAGTGATTGTTTTTTTTTTTTTGTGGCTAGAGCATTTGTAAACGCCACAGTTGGAGGCAGCATTTCATTTGAAATAGTAAAAGTATTCCATGACTTTTCTAACTTTTTGTGTGCAATATCTTTTGGATAAATGCAAAGTATTTTGCTTCTTTTTAAATGCTTATAAATAAAAAAAAAAGGTCCCCGGTCTATTGAACATTAAGCGCACACAACAGGAATAGTTTACCAAACTACAAGCCTGAGGCTTAATAAATAATCTCTGTTAAAGGATTAGCTCAGATCCACATCAGGATACTCACAACACGAGAGAAAGCTGATATTTTTCTCTTCTCCTCTGACGCACTTCATTTCAACCAAAAGTTGAAATTGTGTTCTTTTGTTGTATTAGTTATTAAGTTGAATATTAGCTGTTGCCTTAAAGTTTAAACTTGAAGAAATTCTTGGAAACATACAGAGGCCCACAAAAGGTCTTAGGTTAGGACCGTGGAATCTATGGGGTCAAGAACAACAAACAAAACTCCGATCTAACAGGATTAGAAGTTTGTGTCCGTGTTTAAATATCACTTTTAATTCAAGCACCACAATTGGTTACAACAGCCATTCTATTGGTGTGGTTTAACAACTATGAAAGTATTAGTTATTTAAGACCAAAACGTTATTTTTGTTTTGTATTCAAACCAATGAAGACGAGCACTTTGTTCAAAGGTCTTTTGTTATGAAGCCATGTATAGGTGCAAATGCATAGTTAGCCTCAAAAATATTTGACTGCCTGTGGATCATTAGGTCTCATGTAGCAACCTGGTTTCCAATGTAGCCACTGGATGGCTCTGTACAAACCAATGTTTGAGTTGTGTTAATATTGTTTTATCTATTTATTGCATTGTTTTTATTTGTTCTTTGCTTGCACTTGAAAGAGTGGTTCTCTGAAACGGTCTTCCATATATGACACAGTCATTGTTTGTGTTACATGTTAATTATTTGGTCATAATTTTCTCAAATCTATGAGCTTTTGAGTTGCTCTACAAAGTCCAGAACATGGAAATTATAATGAAAGACCAAGTTTTTCTGTTGTTTTACAAACGCATTTCATAGCAATAAATTAAATTGCACAGAGTGGATCTCTGAACATGTTGTCCTTTACACTTTGTATTGCCATAGGATGTTATATTATTATATGTCCTTCAAATTATATCATGGCATCCTCTGTCCTCGTGTTTTCTTTTACCATTCTGTACCCCCATTACAGGGTCCTCCACTTCCTACAGAGGCTCACTGCTCTCTTTGTGCACACGACCCTTATCATGGCACGTCCCCTGCCGCCCTTAAATATTGAAATTCCTCTAGGTCTCACTCCTGGTGTTATGTGCCAAGCTGTTTTTTATTGTGTAGACCTTTTCTATTATGGGACTGAAGTGGGGGAGTGGTACCTATCAGAAACTTATGTCATGTTGTTTTTTACTCTCCACAATGTGATGATTAGCCCCAATTCAAGGTTAAATATTTTCTCCTGCACACTGTTCCCATGCTCCTTAGTTTTCCATTGTGTATCTTTTGCACAACTTCTTGAGATGTTTTAGGGTTTCATGGAAAAGTCAAGGGCAGTTAACAAAGTCTGATTTTGGATTTGTTATTTAATATTTTATATTGTATCAGTTTTTTGAAGGATCACTTTAGATAATACGTCTTGCCTACATACTGATAAAGTGTATCATAATTGGTTTGAACTGGTGTCTATACAAACACAAACACATGACGTTTATCAACCTGAATGAAATAGTAAAAAAGTAAACATTGCGATGCATTAAAGCAACCTTTGTATGTTAGCTTGTTGAGCTCACAGATAATGAATGACACATAATCTTGCACACTTCTTTCAATAATATTTAAACGTGGGACTGTGTGTTTGTTTTAGGAATCTGACAAAACTCCATAAATTTGGGTTAGAGGCGGTACAGTCTATGGGCGGTACACAAGATCCGAAATGGAAGCGCGGAATCTATAAAAGGCATTGATCAGATCCAACATGGCGGCTGCGCGCTGACGTTTCCTTCAGCGTGAGCACCATGTGACCACCGAGCACCCATGGTGAGCAAGTTGTTCTGCCCCTGGGGGCGGGACCAGTACTGGATACAGTCACATGATTCGCACAGAGCCAAGCTGACCAATTCCAATATGGTGGCCAGCTTGGCAAGTCTACGGTTCCTGTTGATGCTATTGTTGTTTTACGGGATCAGGTTGGCCGCTTGCGACCTGGAAGCCCAGGTGGTGGGACTGCGACTGGAAGACCCCGAAGCAATAGTGTGCATGAAAAAGCGCATAATTTCAGCGCCTCATGGCTCTACCTTCACGTTACGCCTGTTTGGGACCAACCTGAATGGAAGCGGGCCCTTGTTGTCGTTTGCAGGGGCAGCTGCACTGGACGAGGAAGACGCCCCTGACCCCTGTGTGGTTGAATCAAACAGACTGGGCTCCTTTTTCAATGTGAGTGGGAAGTTTGTCCCGGATGAGGTCTCGGGCGAGGTGCACAGCGGCGTGATAACGGTGCAAGTACCGAAGAGCAGCGCATCAAATGGAGCGTTGACCAGTGCCAAGACCTACCACCTATGTGTGCAGAGACGCGGGATCTGGGCTTCTGTCGGACGAGACAGGCTACAGGTTCGATCCGACCTGACTCTACCGCCAGATTACATCCCTCCTTGGGCTCTGGCGCTGTTGGTGCTGCTGATGATCTTGCTTTGCGCGCTGATCAGGACTCTTCACTTCAGTCTACTTTGGCTGGATCCCGTTGAACTTTATGTTCTCCACAGCTGTGGGTCCGAAGAAGAGAAAAGGACTGCCAAGCGACTAGAGCCTGTCAGGAGAAGGGGGAATTTTATGGTGAGTTGGGGAAAAACGTTATAAACGTTAAGTTATAATGGAAAAGCTAACATGCAAATATGTAATCATATCTTTCTGTGGCAGACCTGCTCTCTGCTGTTTCTGTATGCTCTTGGATGTTCAGTGCTGGCTGTGCTCCTCCACCAAGCACTTGGCTCAACGGTCTCTGCAGCTTTCACCAGTGGCTTCCTCATCTTCTTTATTGTTGAATTGGTGCCTCACATTGCATGCTCAGGTTATGGATTCCAGATAGCACCGGCTCTAACCTGGCTGGCCCAGGTGTCAATGGTGCTTACATGCCCACTGTCATGTCCGCTGGGGCTCATCTTGGACCTCGCTCTAAGGCGAGACATCAGCACATGCGGTATTAGAGAGAAGGTCATGGAGATGGTGCGTACAAACGTCAATGACCCATACAGGTAAGTCTGTTCTTCTAATAACATTGGAATTCTGAAATAATTTCCACAACTAAAAGTGTTGTCATTGCAGTGAGTTTGTGAAAGAGGAGTTTAGTCGTGGGACTCTGCGCACTAAAACAGTAGAGGACATCCTGACTCCTCTAAAAGAATGCTTCATGCTTCCCAGTTCTGCTGTGCTGGACTTTTCCACCATGTCTGAGTTAATGCAGTGTGGCTACACACGTGTGCCCATATATGATGAGGAGAGGTAAGTACCGTGATTTCAGCACGATCAGCTGCTACTTTTGTCAAGTTCAACTCCGCTGCCTAAATGGCGATTAAGCCAATGTATGTATTTTTATCGTGGTAGAGTATCCCCCTGGGGCGCATGAAAGTCTATCAGCTGTTGATTATGTTTATGTGAACAGCAGAAAGAGCAGACAAAGATGGGACTTCTTTTTATGTGATTCGGGCTGTTGTGAGAGTTTAATTTTGACCTCCTTCAGGTGTAGTAGTTATAGAACATATGTTTGTCAAAATTGACTGGCAAACGAATCCGACGTGGAAGCTAAAAACTGATATTTGTGTTATTTACAAAGCTCAACAAACAAGTTAACTTTGTTAAAACACCTTAAATCCTGTTGTGTCTGGTTAAATTAGCCGTCTATCAGCTTTAATTTGCTCCAACAGCCGATTGTTACGTGTTACATTATAACATGAAAACTTGTGGCTTATATTCACAGCCTATATGTGGATAAGATGTAGTTTTCAAATTCAGCTGGTGCAGTTTTTATGCATGACGCTTAGTCGTCTTGTATGTTCTGCATATTAACAAAAGCATACTTCTTTCTTATTTGTCTGATTCGTTATTGTATACGTTTGGAGCACTTAGGGTAAATGCTTTACCAAAAAAACATATAAATGTATGATTATGCCATTATATACATGCAGCATTATGGCATGCTGTTTTTCCAGGTCCAATATAGTGGAAATACTGTATGCGAAAGACTTGGCTCTGGTGGACCCAGATGACTGCACACCAATGACGACTATTACCAAGTTCTACAATCATCCACTGCACTTTGTCTTCAACGACACTAAACTGGATGCCATGTTAGAGGAGTTCAAGAAAGGTAAGGCAGCGTGTACGAGCAAAGTAACACGAGAATACAGTGAATATTTTTTAGACCTAATGGGTAACTTTTTTCTTGAAGAAATAGAACATAAAAGTATGCTGATTCTTACTTGCTCTAGAGAAGGATCTCCTTCTGTTTGTTCTACAAAAAACATATAACAGAAGTTCTATTTCATCCCTTCAGACCGCCAGAGGGCGGTGCATAGCACTGAATGTTCCCTTCGCGCATGCGCAGTTCGAGTAATAATACCAAATGAGTCACACCTGTGACCCCCTGGGTGACACACCGGAGGTAATAAAGTCCAGCGTCATCCAGCACTCTGTTCCTTTTTTCTTCTCGCGTGCGGTTCGAATCGTTGTTGCTTGAACCTCGTCAACGTCTGTCGCTGAGAGCCCTCTTCATCGGAGCTGCGGTTCGCCCTCCGTGGGGCGCGACGGTGACGTTGTCCTTCGGGTATTTATCGGTGTTTTCTGTACTATATGCGTGTGTATTGGTTGGTGTGAAGGCTGCTGTGGCGCCCGCTCCTCCGTCAGTACTTTCTTTTGGTACGTGCATTTCGTGGTGTGAGGGCTGCGGTTCGTTGGCCTGCTCCTCCGCCTGTGCATGTTTGAGTTCGCTTTGCTAACTGTGTATTGAGTGGTGTGAGGCTGCGGTTCGTTAGCCCGCTCCTCCATCGGTTCTTATTTGGGTTAGCCTTTTGCTACCTGTGTGGTGTGAGGCTGCGGTTCCGCTCCTCCATCCGTTCTTAGTTGGGTTAGTTTTTGCTACCCGTGTCCTCTGTGGTGTGAAGGCTGCTGTTCGCGCGCCCGCTCCTCCATCAGTTCTTCTTTGGGTTAGTTTTTATTGCCGGTGTCCTCTGTGGTGTGAGGCTGCGGTTCCGCTCCTCCATCCGTTCTTAGTTGGGTTAGTTTTTGCTACCCGTGTCCTCTGTGGTGTGAAGGCTGCTGTTCGCGCGCCCGCTCCTCCATCAGTTCTTCTTTGGGTTAGTTTTTATTACCGGTGTCCTCTGTGGTGTGAAGGCTGCGGTTCGTTGTCCCGCTCCTCCATCAGTTCTTGTTTGGGTTAGCATTTGCTGCCTGTGTTTATTCTGTGGCCGGTGTGAAGGCTGCTGTTGGCGCGCCCTCTCCTCCATCGCTACTTTATTTTGAGTTGGCGTTTTACTGCCGGTGTATTGTGTGGTGTGACGGCTGCTGTTCGCGCGCCCTCTCCTCCATCACTACTTTATTCGAGTGGCATTTTGCTGCGGGTGCATTGTGTGGTGTGAAGGCTGCTGTTCGCGCGTCCGCTCCTCCACCGTGCTATATTTGGCTTTTCTGTTGTGAAACTGCAGTACGTTGATTCAGTTTTGCAGTTTGTATACCGTTGGGGATTAATTACATATTTAATTAACGACGCAGTCGAAACAAGAATAATAATTTAATAATAATAATAATAATAAGAAAAAAAAAATAATAATAATAATAATAATAATAAAAGAAATACAACCTTGTTGTTATGGACGGGTCACATGCGTGTGTGGGCTGCGGGTCAGCACTCGATGTTGATGACGGCCATGACCTGTGTCCGGCGTGCCTCGGCCCCACTCACTTGAGGGAGGCAGTGTCCGATAACCCGTGCATGAACTGCAGCTGCTTGCCCTGGGCTGTTAGGGTGGCGAGGCTGGTTCAGCTGCCTTCGTCTGGCGACGGTGATAGTTTGCCAGTGGGACCTGCTGTGGCTCCGCCCCCTCGGCGTTCTAAGCGCCGTGCTGAGGCCTGTGCTTCAGGGGAGCGGTCTGATGGTCATGGTCCTTCCAAGCAGGCCAAGCCGGATGCTGTCCTGGTGTCGAGGGTGGAGCAGTTGTCTGCAGAGTTGGAGGCGATGAAATCTGCATTCCAGGCACGTTGTGCTGCTGATGCAGTCTCTGGGGCTGGTTCTTGCTCCATGCCATCCCTCCATCCGGAGGAGGATGTGCTTTCTCTGGCGGCATCTGCTTCGTGCTTCCGGGACGAGGATGACGCGCGGTCCCTTTCGGGGGACGATGCTTATTCTTCCGCACATAGTGTGTCCAGCCGGTCTGGTGACGGCTCAATGCAGGAGGTTCTTCGCAGGGCCTTATCCCGTCTGCAGGTGGAACTTCCCCAGTCGGGACAGGCTGACCCTGGCAGTGTTTTTTTCAGGCGTGGTGGTTCGTCTCCTGCTTTTGTTGTGCCCCCGTCCGCGGAGTATCTGAAGGAGCTACACGCGTGCTGGAGGGACCCCAGCCGTCTCTCTAAGCTTTCGGCTGAGGGTCGGGCTTTGGCCGCGATGCACGATGCCTCTTCGGCTGGCCTGGATTGCATGCCGGCTGTTGAGCCGGCGGTTGCCTCCCTCATTGTTTCCCCGGAGGAGTCCTTGCGGGAGAATGTGAGGTGCCCTCGGAGCCAGTGTCGTGCGACGGATCACTTGCTAACAAAGGCCTACAATTCTGGTGCTCGAGCTGGCCGTATTGGTAACTCCTTAGCGCATCTGCTGCTTGCCCTGTCTGCCTCCCTCCAAGAGGGTAGTGCTGTGGGCACTGATGTTACTGCGTTTAGCGACGCAGCTCTGCACGCTGCGTCGGTCCTTGTACAGGCTCGTCGGCAGGTATGGCTGGCTCAGTCTCCCCTGACTGAGGCCTGTCGTAGGACCCTCCGTGACGTGCCTGTCGAGCCGGGTCAGATGTTTGGGACGGCGGCCCAGGAAGCATTGGACCGGACTGTCCATGCTGGTAAGTAAGTAAGTAAGTAATCTTTTATTTATATACCGCCTTTTCACTGCAGATCTGAGTCTCAAAGCGGTTTACAATTGTAAATATTTTTTTGGGCATTTGTCTCTCACTCCACACAGAGATGGGAGCGGGGTCGCCAGTACAGGAGGCGCATGCTAGAACTATTGGACATATTTTTAGTGGTAGGGGAAACCGGAGTACCCGGAGGAAACCTACGCAGACACGGGGAGAACATGCAAACTCCACTCAGAAAGGTCCTGGTCCGACCGGGATTCGAACCCAGGACCTTCTTGCTGAGAGGCGAGAGTGCTATCCACTCAGCCACCGTGCCGCTGGTCAGACTAGACAGCAACTTTCTAGCCTTAGCAGGGTGGTGCGCCCTCCCCGGCAGTTTTTGCGCCCGATGGTGGCCCCCGGTGTTCGGCAGCCTCCTCGGGATTGGACTGGTGCTCAGCGTTTTCCCCAGGTCAGGCCTGCCGGGAATTTTCGTGCCCCACCCGTACATAGGCGCCCGACCCGCCAGCCACGTGGCGCCGCGGCTGGTCCTGGGCGGGGTCCCCCCAGAGCCCCTAGGGGGCGGGGGGCACGGAATTGACGCCTCAGGGCCGAGCGTCGGACATTTTTCCCATCAGCAGCTCGAGTGTTGGGCTGCTCGAGCTCGGGATCCGTGGGTGGTTGCCACATTGACCCACGGATACCGTCTGCAATTCCGTCGCCGGCCGCACTTGTCGGGCCGGGTCAAGGTTACTTTGTTCTCGGACCCGGCAAAAGCCTTTATCTTGGATCAGGAGCTCTCCGCCCTCCTGACCAAGGGTGCCATCGAGGCGGTAGATCCGCTGCTGCAACCCAGGGGTTATTACTCCCGTTATTTTCTCGTGCCCAAGAAGACGGGGGGTTTTCGACCAATTCTGGATCTGAGGGGCTTGAATCATTTCCTGAAGGTCATTCCATTTCGCATGCTGACGACTGCGGAAGTCCTTCAGACTGTTGGGGCCGGGGAATGGTTCACGTCCGTAGATTTGAGGGACGCGTATTTTCACGTGCCCATTGCGCAGCCCCACCGGCGGTTCCTCCGGTTCGCCTATCGGGGCGTTCAGTGGCAGTTCAGGGTTCTTCTGTTTGGCCTCTCTCTCTCCGAGGGTTTTCACGCGATGCACGAAGGCGGCCCTTCCTCCTCTACAGGCCAGTGGCATGAAGGTGTTGCCTTATCTGGACGATTGGTTGATCTGCGCCCCGTCCAGGGCACGGTCCTTGGAAGATACGGAGCGCCTTCTGACTCATGTCGCCCGCTTGGGGTTCAGGGTCAATTTCGAAAAGAGCAGCCTGGTACCTTCGCAGGCCGCTGTTTTTCTTGGCCTGAGTCTGAACACGGTGACTATGACGGCGCGTCCGTCGGGGCGCCGCCTGGTCGACATCCACGGTGTGGTGTCCCGTTTCGGTCTTGGCACTCTGCACAGTTACGTCAGCTTTCTACAGCTGGTGGGGAAGCTGGCCTCGATCTCTCGTGTGGTTCCTCTCGGGCTGCTTTCGCTTCGCCCGTTGCAGAGGTGGCTGAACGGGTTTCGTTTGGATGCCGTTCGTCACCGCCACAGACGGTTACAGGTGACGTGGGCATGTTTTCGTGCTTTGGCTCCATGGAGGGACCGCGGTCTCCTGTCACGTGGGGTCCCCTTGGGGGTGGTAGTGTGCCGCAGGGAAGTGGTCACCACCGACGCCAGCCGTACGGGATGGGGTGCTGTGTGGCAGCGCAGGTTGGCCCGAGGGGTTTGGTCTCGGGCGGAGCGCTCAGACCACATAAATGTACTGGAGCTTCGGGCCGTCCACCTTGCTCTCCAGGAGTTTTTGCCTCACCTGCTGGGGAAACATGTCCTCATTCGTTCGGACAACACCTCGGTCGTGTATCACATCAACCATCAAGGGGGTGTCCGATCGGCTCGGCTCCTCGAGGTGTCTCAGGCTCTGCTGGTTTGGGCTGCGCCTCGCCTGGCTACACTGCGTGCAGCGTATCTGCCAGGGGACTGCAATCGCGTGGCGGACTCCCTGTCTCGCGGGAGGCCTGCCCCGGGGGAATGGTGTCTCCACCCCGGTGTGGTCCAGAGGGTGTGGGGCCTCTTTGGTCGGGCACAGGTGGACCTGTTCGCTTCGGTGGCCTCCACTCATTGCCCTCAGTTTTTTTCCCTGGACGGGGCTCCGGGCTCTCTCGGCCAGGATGCCCTGGCGCACAGTTGGCCTCAGGCCCTCCTGTACGCCTTCCCCCCTTTTCCTCTGATCTGGCCAACCCTCTAGAGGGTCCTTCGGGCGGGGCACAGTTTATTACTGGTGGCTCCGTTTTGGCCTGCACGGCCCTGGTTTCCACTGCTACTCAGACTTTGTTGGGCTCCCCCCTGGCCTCTCCCTCCCAGGCGGGATCTGCTCTCACAGCTGGACGGTCAGGTGTGGCATCCCTGTCCTCACCGCCTCAAGTTGTGGGTATGGCCGTTGGCTGGCCCGAGCTGCGGGCACTCGATGTCACTGGCCCTGTCAGGCGTACACTCCTGAATGCCAGGGCGGCCTCTACTCGGCGGCTGTATGAGAACAGGTGGAAGTTGTTCTCCCGCTGGTGTTCTTCCCGCGGTCGGGATCCCGTGTCGTACCCGGTGGCGGTTGTCCTGGAATTCCTTCAGTCTCTCCTGGATGAAGGTCGGGCCCCATCTACTCTGAAGGTATATGTTGCTGCTATTTCATGTTATCATGGCCTGGTTGATAACTGTACTGTGGGGGGCCATAACCTGGTGTCTCTCTTTTTACGCGGAGCTCGTAGGCTGCACCCTCGCGTGCCCGCGCGGTCTCCGGTTTGGGACCTGGCCTTGGTGTTGGAGTCTCTCTGCCGCCCTCCGTATGAGCCATTGGCCCGAACGGACCTCAAGTGGCTCTCCTATAAGACTGCTTTCCTGTTGGCTGTGGTCTCTGCAAAAAGGGTCGGTGAGTTGCATGCACTTTCTGTCAGTCCCTCATGCCTACACTGGGATCCTGAGAGGGCTGGCGTGGTCTTGTGGCCTAATCCCACTTTCCTCCCTAAGGTGCTTTCCCGTGACTATTGTAACCGGCCTTTGAGGTTGGCGCGGTTTGTGTCCCCCCTGGATGGGGGTGAGGACAGACTGCACCTGCTGTGTCCTGTGAGGGCATTGGAGGCCTACGTTGCTGCGACGGCAGGTGTGAGGCGCTCAGACCAGCTCTTTGTTGCTTATGGTGGTGCTAGACTGGGAAGTCCGCTTTCGAAGCAACGCCTTTCCCACTGGGTGGTTGACGTTATCAGTCAGGCGTATATTTCGGCCGGCCGCGACCCGCCAGCCACGGTGAGGGCCCATTCTACCAGGGGTGTCTCTACCTCCTGGGCCGCTATGCGCGGGGTGCCGTTGGGAACTATTTGTGCTACTGCGTCTTGGGCTACACCAAGCACGTTCACCAGATTCTATAACATCAATGTGGCCACTCCGGCTCCTCTTGGCGTGGTCCTTCAGGAATCCTCTGGCTCTCCTCCGTGAGGTGTGTGGTCAAGTTCCTTCGTGACATAGCTGGTATAAGGTCATTCAGTGCTATGCACCGCCCTCTGGCGGTCTGAAGGGATGAAATAGAACGAGGGTTACGTATGTAACCACGGTTCTATGAATCCCGGATGACCGCCAGAGGCGCTCTGTCACTCAGGGTCCTTGCATCCGCGAGAAGATTCTGCAGGAACAGAGTGCTGGATGACGCTGGACTTTATTACCTCCGGTGTGTCACCCAGGGGGTCACAGGTGTGACTCATTTGGTATTATTACTCGAACTGCGCATGCGCGAAGGGAACATTCAGTGCTATGCACCGCCCTCTGGCGGTCATCCGGGATTCATAGAACCGTGGTTACATACGTAACCCTCGTTCTTCATACAATGACCACCCATATATATGGATTTATGGGTATACATATATATATATATATATATATATTATCTGTGTATCTGTATCCTTTTTGTGGTTTGAAAAACACTTGATGGTTTATCTCTTGTGTATGTATCTTTGAATGGTCGTTTTTATTCCTTCTGTCCTGTAAATTGCATGACAACGCTGAAATGTCAGGCAGATAACTGCTTTCTTGTCTCATCACTGTAGGCAGCTCCACTATGGCCATTGTGCAGAAAGTCAATAATGAGGGAGAGGGCGATCCTTTCTATGAAGTGCTGGGATTGGTCACTTTAGAGGACGTCATTGAAGAGATCATCAAATCTGAGATCTTGGACGAGTCGGATGGTTATTGTAGGTTTTTATTACAAACACTTCTTTTAATTATATCTTTTCATGAACTACATTTCTCTGATTTGTAGTGGACAGAAAGGTAAAGCGTCCTCTTGCCCCGTTGGAGCTTCCGCTGGGGCCCCGGACTGCCCATGAGGAGTTCTCTCTCTTTAAGCCTCCTGAAGGTGAACCCAAGGTCCGCACTTCTCCACAGCTCCTGCTGGCCACTCTCCGCTTCCTATCTCGAGGTATGTCCATCAAAGTCTTTTAAATGTATCTCAGTGTAAATGTATTTGGGTCTTTTATCTCTGATTTATGATGACTGCAGAAGTGGAGCACTTCAGTCCAGCTCGTGTCTCAGAGAAGATCCTGTTTCATCTTCTCAGTCACCCCAGTGTCAACCAAGAAGTGCACTTTGACCCCAGTAATCAACACAGCCCAAGTCACTATCTGTACACAAGAAACCACCCAGTGGATTACTTCATCTTGCTGCTACAGGTGGGGCTGGTCCTAAACCTGACCTAGCATCCTGAGAATGGGGTATCATTGTCTTCCTCTTTTTGCATTCAAGGGCCGAGTAGAGGTGGAGATCGGAAAAGAATGTTTCAAGTTTGAAAACGGGGCTTTTACTTACTATGGCATGTCTGCACTCACACTGCCATCTTCTGGTAAGAAAGAAAAATGCAAAGACTGTACAAACTGTACAAAACTGTACATGAAGCGTGAGGCCTGAACTTCTGTATTGCTCTCAACAGTGCACCAATCTCCAGTTTCAACACAGCGTCAATCTCCCAGGGATTCATTTGAGCCTGAAGATGCCACAACTCCTTCAAGTTACTGTCCAGACTACACTGTTCGAGCACTCACCGACCTACAACTCATAAGGGTAAAACTGTCATTGATAAATAAATCTATCAGTCTTTAGAGTATTTTATGTGTTAAATTCTGCTTTATCAGCCTTGAAAACAAGCCGCATATTTGCAAATGGGCTTTTCAGATGTGTTCAACTCATAGACAGAGGAGAGGAAAGCAGTGCACTTTAATGAGACTAATAGAATTGGGGCTGGAGCAAGTTAATCAATAATTTGCAAAATATTATTGATTTAGTGAAGTAGTAATTAAATAGTCGTGTTTAGTCTCGCTGTAAGAGTTGTATGAAACTGTAGCATTTGTCGATAACAGATTTCTCTTTTAAACTTCACTAACTCACTGCAGAGTCTACACTTCATCATGCGTCTACCAGATTTAACAAAAAGTCATAAAATAAAGAATACCTATATTTTTCTTGTAATCCACTATGGAGTGAGCTAGATTGTCTATTGTTGCAGAAGGCAGGAATGGCATACGTCAATCACTCCACTACTGATCTGTATGTGACTGATTTCTATCAGGGTTAATGGAAACTAGCCCATTTTTGGCAAACGTGCCCATCAAATGAATACACATATTATAGTTGGAGACCTTAATAATAAACTACATGTGATTTTAAAGATATTATAATCATTTTTAAATCCATTACAAATGGCCCTATTTTCCTCTATTTCTCAAAATGACAGTGCTAGCTCAACCCACCTAGGCCATCGATGAGTTGAGTTTTGCTCCTCCGAGCATTTGGAAACTCTACAGAGGAGGAACCAGACTTGTGGAGATTTACAATTCACTTCCTGTTCAAAAAGTTGTTTAAAGACTAATCTTTTTGTATGTATACTTCCGACTTGGTAATAAAAGAAAAAAAAAAGTGGTATTGCGCAAATAGAAGAAAAGAACATTGTATAACATTCTGACTTACAATGAGAGAACTTAGTCAGATTTAACTTAAAATAACGCAGGATTGTTAGTTTTCCCCCCTTTTACATGGTGTATGAAAAAACTACACACTACTATACACGTTTTAAATTGTGCTTCAGGTTACCCGTCTGCAGTACATGAACGCGCTCATGGCTTCCCGCGTTGGTCAGAGTCCAGACCCTCCAGAGATTAAGATCCTGCCCAACAGTCATACCAAGCTGCTCAGTGATGCAACACAAGGTAGCCCTGATTACTGTGTGTGTGTGTAACACTAAAACTCCTTTAAAGGTTTCATACTTGTTCTACTGGTACTTTTTGTCATGTTTGCTTTCAGCTCAACTAAAACGTATCTTCTTTTCTCTTTTTTTCTTCCTCCCACGTGTGCCTCCCTCTCCCCTCTGAAATGTCACTTCATTTCTGGTGTGTCTAGACTTTTCTGTAAACTTTTCATTCTTTGATACAATTGACAACTATTGATAATGTCTGTGCATGATCCTGATGCTTGCCTTGTCATGTCTCTCACTGTCTTCAAACTAAAAATGGACTACAGTACTAGCTGGACTGTTAAGCGCACCTGTTTATAAACTACACCTGCTAAATTTGAAAAGAGTACATTTTATCTACGGGTTAAATAGTCAGCGGTTTTTGTGTTGCAAAGTAACACTTAACCAACAGCTGATGGAGCAAAACAAATCCGATTGTAACGGACACACCATGATCTAATGACTAGGTGTTTTTTGTGTACTGTGATGATCAAAGCTCTCTTGTAAATCCAATCTATTTTTACAATAACATTCATACTAAAGCTTGGAGTTTTGAGAGTTCCCTGAACTTCCCCTCTGCTATACACATAAACATTCTGGAAGCAGGAATGTGTGCTACGTCAACATCTCCAGAGATCATGCATTGGCCGCATCACTGTCTAAGTCGCAGAGTGAAAAGAACTTAGTGGGTTATAGTCCAGCAAGTATTGTATGTTTATCGTCGTCCTGCACTAGTCTTTTGTTTTGTCAATCTGCCTGCTTTCTTAAGTCTTGAGGAAAAACAGTTCTCTCCCCTCAATCATTGTCTTGTATACTCCTTAAAACCTCCTCTTCACAGTGGTTATGAAGAAATATTTAAACAATAGTAATAGTTCATTAGCAGTTTTTACGCTGAGCTGCTGCTCAGGATTCTCAGGTGCTGAAAACATGTTTTCAGTTGATAATTTAGATATTTTGATTTTCCACCATCAAAAGTTCTGTGGAGCTCTTCACTTATTCACTTCATAGACTTGATAGCTAGAGTGTTTAGGTCATTTGAAAATGGCAAAGGTCACTGATTCCACTTATAGTCAATACGATTCACAAACCAAAGAGTCTCCTGTTAAGAAGAAACAAAACAAGAAAACAGATGTGCACGCTTAATACCATTTATGATTTATTAACACACCATCTGTAGGAGCAGAACAACGGTCCATTATTGTACCTGTATCCTGTATGAGCTGTGCGTTTCATTCCACCCCTGTCCTTTTGGTGTTTGGGTCCCACAGGCAGCAGCAGAGTCCAAGAGAGCTCCACAGAAGAGGAGGCTGTTGGGTAGTGCCTCAGTTACAACCAACCCTTTTGTTTTGACTGGAACACAGTATTCTGAACAAGACTGATGTGTACGTTTAAATTGTGTTCTACTGTTCATTGCTTCATTGTGATTTTATGTTTGTATTCACTTCGGGACATGTATATAATATATATAATTGAGTTTTGTTAAGATGTATTATTTTAGGTTGATTGTGCCTTTCTCACATATTGAGCGTTTGTCTGGACTTCTCTTGTATATTCCTCATGGCCAAAGTTGTTTCCTCTCTGTTCTTTTAGATTGCAAAAGTTTCATGAATGCAGGTTTGCACATCACGTTTGTGCACTTTGTCATTGTGTAAGCTAAAGGTACGTCCATATCTTTCATCTCATGGAGTTGATTGATCACGCTGTGCTGTGCACAAAATGCTATATTTTATGAGTGAACATATAATACTATATGGAAATTTGAGGTGGTTGTTACCTTCTATAACATACAGTTGTACATAAGTTTACATACCCTGAGAGAAGATTTGCCTTTACAACTATTTTACAGAAAATATAAACAATAACAAAATATTTGGATGTGTTTTTTAAATGGTTTACTCTTTTTTTTTTTTTTTTAAGAGTAAACCATTGAATTATTGTCTGAGATCAAAATTTGCAAAGGCCTTGGTGATTTTGGGCTCGAACGTTTGAATGGTACTGAAGGGTTCCTTAACCGTGGTTAAAAAACGGTTCTGTCTTCTCATATATTCCTTAAACCTTTTTGACTGAACTGCTGACTTGGCAGATTCTCTCAAAATGTCCAAGAAATTAAAACGGCCAGAGTATGTAAGCTTATGAGCACAACTGTAATTATGCTTAAAGACATTATTTGTCGACTTATAAAGCCGTACAATCACTGGTGGTGGTCAGTTAACAAATATAATAATTAAAAACGAAACTCATCTCCAAAGGTCTACTTAAGTTAGACCTTCGTGCACATTCTCATGCACCTTTCTCAACGGGAACTGAAAACACTTCTCTTTGAGCCCAGGTGTTTGGTACAGCATTATCTGTGTATATATTTACAGTCGGTTACGATTCTGCCTTTTTTGTTTTTGATTTATTAATCAAATCAAATCTCAGATTAGTATTGGTTTCATTTTATAAAATGATGCTGTTGATTTGCTGTTTTTTTACTAAGACGGAATGTAAAGAAATTGTTAGTTCAGTGTTATGTTTTAATTGATCTGGATTTTATACAGTGTTCTCTAGATTTCTCATGTTTCTCATTTTTAAAGGGTCAAACTTTGAAGCAAATTTGCCAAATTTTGGGTGCATTGACAATACTAACTGCATTTCTTAGAGAAATAAATACATTTTGATCTTACTGCAAGTAAATGTCGTTTGTTCTAATTTAACAGGAAGGGTCCGTGTACTTTTGCGTTCAATACATGTTCTATTTTTAAAGGGAAATGGAAAATCGAAAAAAGGCTATTTTGCATTTTCAGGCACACAGCAATATACAAAAAGGACCTTTTTTTTCATTGCTTATAAGACATATATATATTATAATAACCGGTTTTGGGAACTAGAAAATGCAATAATTAACCTTCTTTAATGCGTATTTAATACATTTCGGCGTCAATCGATTACCCGGAAGTGAAACATGTTTGTTTACTTCAGCCCTATTCGCGCTAATTTCTCCCGTATTTGTCCAAACACATGTCAGTGATTGTGATCACTGACATCACTAACCCTAACCCTAATGCCTCTTTCGCTTTACTTTCTGCGTTGTTTTTTGTCATTGAGCAGAGGAGTCGCAGATTGCGGCTGTGTACACAGCTGCAGAGTCTCGGCTGCTGCTGTCTCTGTGAGGTCTATGGAGAAGTGTAGAGGACAGTGTAATGTGTTCACTGATACAACATGATCAGACTGATGGGTTGCATTTGTTCGTTTACTTTGCACTCTGTCCCGGTTTGTGTAAGCTCTCAGTCGTACAGGGATTAGTCAAAGCAAAGGAAGGTTTCTCACCCATCATCTGTACTTCTTAGCAAGTTTTCCCGACGTTTCGTCCTC